ATTTAAAAGTCGAGTTTTGCTCATTTCAAGCCACCTGCATTTTATTTTGGCAACCGCCACAACTGGAATTTTAAAGGGGGGGGACACAATTTTCATCAATTTCGAAAATTTCCAGAAAACGCGAAATTTTTGAATTTTTGATGAGTAGACACATCGTCGAAATAATCGAGTTTCGAATTTCAATTATTTCAAATCATTTCGACACAAAAAAAAATGAAATGCCTTGAGGCTGAAAAAACTAATAAAAATCGCCGCTTATAATAATAAGCAAGTGTGGTGGGAGATTTTCGAATTTTTCCAAAATTCTCCTCATCACCATCATCATTATTCTACTATTTTCATTCCTCAAATCGGGCCGAAATATTCCATCTTGAGAATTCTTTGTTCCATTGTGACGAGTTCGAGTGGATTTTCGAAAAAAAAAAAATTTTCCCGCCTGCTTCATCATCATTTTCGTCGGACCGCCGCCGGCAAAACGTGAATTTTTGAGTAGGATTAATCGCGACAAAAAAATTAAGAAAACAAATTTCGCTTTTAAGGTTTTTCACAAATGCAAAATGAGTGATCTTGGAGTCCCGCAAAGGGGTCTCGAAGCGAATTGGGGGGGGGGCACACAAATTTGAGGAAATGCGGCAAAATTCGCGAAAATCAAAAGGGTGGGAAAAAAAAGTGGCGGCAGCCTGATGGAGAAATTCTGTGATGTCTTCGAAGAGGTTCAAGGGGGCGGGGGGGGGGTCGGAAGTGGGCGTGGCTCGCGGACGGTATTTCGAAAAGACTCGCTGAAAATTGAGAAATGTTTTAATTCGTCGATGGATGAGCGCGGAAAATGAGAAGAGGCGCACACGCGCTCGAGCACAAATTGAGAAGCAGCAAAAAGTCGGAAGAGTGCGAAAGGATACATAATATTAAATTAAAGTTGAAAGTTTCTATTGAAACGCGCAATGTCTCTTCTGCATCGCAAAATAGTTTGACGAGTATAATTCATTTTTTTCTTCTTCTTCTTCTCGAAAAAAAAAACAACAACAACACCATCTTCTCAAAAAGTTATTGGAGGAGAAAAAATTGTTTTATATGCGAATAATTAATTTTCTCCAATTTCCTCCTTATAAGGCAGCAGATATTTTCAATAATAATTATCAACGTTTTTTTCCAAGTTTCGTTGAAAGGCTTTTTTTTTATTTTCGCGGCGGGGATCTCATGCGCCTTTAATTCGGGCCATCCAATTTTTTGGATTTCAAAAAATCAACAAATATTGCCTTAAAAAATCGCGTTTCGCGTCGAGATCCATTTTATTTTGAAATTGTTTTAGATTTTTGAAAAATTCCTCAAAATCATGAAAAATCCATTTGAATTTTTTGTTTTTTAATAAAAACGAGCAAGTCAGCAAGTGCGCTCCATTGCGAACTCTTGTTTCTTCATATTTTTTTGGTGCTTCAAAATTTAGAAAAAAATCGTTTTCAGATATTACATTTGCAAAACAAAGACACGAGCTTACCATGAGTTTGACTCGTAGGGTATCCCTAATATGGTATTCAAATTTCCACTGTTTCAATTGAAATTTAAATTGCCGCCTAGAAACAGTGCGATGGTCCACAAAATTCAAGGCACGCATTTTTTTGGCGATGCAAATTTTGCATTATTTCTAGAACAAGACAACACAATGTAAATGAGGGCAATAAAATTGCGAGCAAGTCAGCAAGTGCGCTCCACTGCCAACTCTCTCCACCCCACATTTTTTTCCGGTTGCTCAGCGCAAAAAATCAGGGGGGCTAAATGAAAACGCAAAAAAAAAGTTTTGGTCGAAAACAAAAATAAAGAAGGCGGATTTTAAATGGAAATCGGCCTAAATGAAAACAAAAAAAAATGGGGCCCCAACTATTTTTTTGTTGGCTCGACAAAAACAGTTTTGTATCAAATTTATATTGTTTTTCATTCGCGATTTTCAGCGTATCGAATTTCGGCGGCTCCTCATCAATTTTGACGCTTCAGAATGAGGATGTTGGAGTTTGCTTATGACAAAAAGCGAAGAAAAAAAAAACTTGCTACACTCGCGCACCACAAAAAAAACACAATGATGATGATGATGATGATGAACTCAAAAATGCACGGCTTTTCCATATTTCCATTCTTTCTCGAAATTAAAAATTTCCCTTTTTTTTGACACATATAGTTGGGTATGAATGGAGAAGTTTCGGCGGCTTCTTCTTTCAAAATTCCGATGCATTTTTGATTATGTTAAATTTTGACGAGTTTTTCCCGAGCTACTCGAAAAAAAAATATCGAGAGAGACAAAAAAAAATGTGGAAATGAGACTTCGAGTAAGTTTTAAAGGCGCATGTCGAGTCGTTTTGGCGGGAAACGTTTTGAAAATCACATTTTTAAAATATGAAATTTTATTTTAAATGTGTGCAATTTTGCGTGCCGCCCATTTTTTGAGCTTTTTGGAATTTTTGAAATAGGCAGTTTTTACCGAATTTCTACAACTTTCAATTAGTTTAAAAAGCCCAGTTGGAAAAAAAAAGATTTAAAGGAGCATTTAAAGGCGCGTTGTCGTTGGCCTCGAAACGAGATACGAAACATGTATTTTTCCCGTGCTCACTGCAGCTGAAATTCGCTGATTTCGCGATTTCAGGGAAATCCTCGATTTGAATTTCGTATAGGCACGTGAACGACCAGGGACCCGATGAAGGGGGGCTCGATGAAAAGCAAAAATTCGAAATTTAAGTGTTTCAATTCGACAAGGACCCACTTGAGCGAGGCCTAGGGACCATTTCGAATTGAAACGAAAAATGGGGGAAGGCGGGTCATGTGAAAAACATTGGCGCGCAAAAATTTTTTGTTTGGCAAAAACTAAGCGATTATGAAATTTGTGCGCAAAATTTATGATTAATCATACAAGTTTTGTTTTTTTGCGACGAAAAATGACAACTACGAAATTCTTGGTTCGGAATTTCGCGTCGAGACTCGGAATGCGTCTTGAAATTCTCGTCGCGAGAGTTCGATTGCAAATATACGTGTGCGTTTTTTTTTTTTGAATCGCCAAAATCGAATGAAAACCTAATCAAATAAAAATAAGCATAACATTTCATTTTCGGAATTTATGGGTCATGTGAATTTTTTCTTGACAAACATCACGTGAATATATTTTCTTTCATTTTTCGTTGAAACAATGAAATTCGGAAAAATCAAGGATCAAGGTTTATTGGTCTCAAAACGGCATTGATCAAAGAATTCTGTGCATGCTTGCGTCGCGGTGTTTGCACACAACTTCCCGCGCTACCATCAATTTTAATTTTTTTCTCGAATTTTCAAAAATCAAAATCAAAGTGCAAAAAGTAAAAATATTGCTTTTATTAGCCAACACCGAGTTTTGGCGCTAATTCAAAAATGCTTAACATTTGAGAGGGGAGGGGGTCCAAAAAAAAAAGCGAATAAAGGGGGGGGCAATATTATTCCAATATATGCCAAAAATTTGTATGTGGCCCCAAAAGTGCACGACGACAATTATTATGGCGCCCCGACGGGCTCATTTGTCCAACCGACATACGGTAGGTTGAGGTAGGTCGAATCGAGCGGAGAAGGAGGAGAGGAGAGCGGGGCGCACCGCAATCATCGTCAGGAAACAATTAGTCGTTGTCGTTTGAGATTTTTTCGACTTTGTGGCGCTCGCCATGATATATTGCGGCGAATTTGGAGAAATTCGGTATGGAGTTGGTCTTCCGGCAACCACTACCCAACCAATTTTAATATAAATTGCTCTTTTGAAGAGGGGGAGGGGGACCAACTTGATTTCTGACATTCTCACGCCTAATGAATTCTCGACGGTTCCGCTCTTTTTTGTTGGCTGCGCCGTTTTTTCAATTTCCGGAACGATGTGCTCTAATGAGTTTAACATATATGCAAATCGAGGTCCCTCCTTTTTGGTTTTGCCGAGAATTTATGATCGTCCCTTTCGAGGCCGCACGTTTTTCGTCCAACGGTCGTTCGATTTCAAATCGAGGGAGCCGACGATTGCTCGGATTGTAGAATTGCACACTGACAATGCTCAAAAAAGGATTTCCGAGTGGTTTTTCGGCAAATAATTATTGGTGGACTAGTTTTGTATCACACGGCCACGGCCGCGCAATTTTCCACTTTGATTGTTAAAATAAAAAAGTTAAAAGGTTCCATTAGTATTGGAATTTAATAAACAATATTTTTTTTTTCATTTCAAATTGTTGAAGCAATCAAGATTTGTTGATCGTAAAGACTCTGACATGCAAAATTTCTTCGATTTCAAAAATGGAGAATTTCGCCTACACCAAATTTTTCCGAAATTTTAATTTTTAGAGAAAAAAAGCGATTGATTAAGAATTTTCAGGCTTGTGAAAAAGAAATCAAAGATCCCGAATTTTTTAAATGTCGAAAAAATAAAATTTAGGCGCAATTTTTTGAAATTAGCGCCAAAATTTTCTGAACCAAAATTCCTATTAATTTTTATTTTACGGGCAGCTTTTGAAAAAAAGCATCATCCCAATAATAATTTTTTTAAATTCTTTGAATTCCATTCTGCATCTGCGGATAAAATCAATCCAAGTGGTTCAAATTTCTCCTTAGAGAGGAGCTCATCTTCGTCCTAATGGTTCTATTTTTCGCATCAACAGATTAACGTGAAAATATTCAACCTTCCACCATTTATGGTCCCACAACGAAATAAAAAATTTCATTTTTGGATTGAGTTGATTGTCACACACAATACAGAAAGAGAGCTGGAAAAAAATCCTTGCAGACTTTCAGAAAAATTTCAAATTCTCTCGACTTTTAAAAATGTCGTAATTATTTGTTTGAATCAATGACGTCGTTTTTCTTCGCTCTTCCAATATCGAAGCCCAATTTTTATCAATTTCGATTTCTTTTTTATCGCACTTCGAAATTATCAGGCCTCTCTTGATTCGTGTGTGTGTGCCCACGACATTATGACAAATTTCGGTTTTGTACAACAATTAAAAAAAAGTTTCCAGATGAGAATTCTTTTTGCGATTTTAAGTGTTCTTGCCGTCGTCGGCGCTCAGAAGACGTCAGCACCTGGCGGCCACGGTGAGTTATTTGAAATTCACCGAATATATGCATTCGATTCTTGTCAGTATGCAACTACCCAGTTACGGGCGATGAGTCCATGCAGCAAGCGGTGCCAATTGAGAACTTCCGAACATCCGGACTCGATTTCATCAGGTTGGCTCGTGCCATTTTTGAATTTCGCGCCAATACAGACCGTTTCCAGAAAGAACTGGTGCGTCACCCATTGCGCTGATCGTAAATCCGTCAAAACCGAGGTCAACTTCCTTCCAGCCAATTCCTCGTCGCGTAAGAAGAATCGATGAGAGTGAGATCAAAAATGTTTTTTTTTTTTTTTGATTTTCAGCAATTTTCGACGTTCGTCATGTCGTTGCCAAAAACGGACAACACTCGATTCACGCCGATCTCAAGTCGGGAGCCGCAATTAAGAAGAGAGACGACGACGATTTCAGTACGAATTGAGAGCGGGTGCAGCTTTTTTGCAACATTTCGCCATTTTTTCAGACTTCTGCATCGACGACGCCGTTTCCGACGCGGTCGATCGTGCCATTCAAGATGTAAGCAGTTTCCGACATTCGAGCATTCGTTGAATTCTGAAAATTTTCAGTTCGACAACCTTGAGGATATGAGCGAAGCGCTCAACTACTACGTCAACAAGCCAGGATGGGCGTTCATGCTTTATGACATGGGAAAACCGCCAAGTGTTATTATTACCGTCAATGTCAAACAGGACATGAACTATTGTAGCAAGGTGGTCGACAAGGTATTTAATTATTTCAAGATTTTTGAAATTTTTAAACCTGTGCAATTTCGCGTGTCAGTGAACTTGCGGACTCTCAACTTTTTTTGTTTTTTTTTTAATTCTTAATTTGTTAATTTTAAATCAGTAATCTTCTTATTTTCATTAACCTAAAGACTATCCAATTTTCAGCAACTTGATGATGGCACCTGGAAATTGTATCAAGTTTTCGCCGGCGTCGTTCAACCAGAGGATGATTAACTAAATAATTGAATAATGCTTTTTGAATTATTCTATTCCATAAAATGCATGCATTCAAATCAGAATATCAATAGAATTGGCAGACGGGGGGCGCGCAGGCGCCTCTGCGTCTCTGCCCTCTTCTTGCTGCCAGCCAAACACGCTCGCCGTCTGCGCTCTCTTCGCAACGCGCGCTCTTCTCACCCGCAGGCGAGGCAAGAGGCGAGCAAAAACTCGCGCACTCTCCGAGGCTCGCTCACCGAATTCATTTCAGATTACACATTATTTATAAATATTATATTTATATAAACATATATGGAATAATTGTTACAAAAAAAATTGCAGACGAAGCGCAAAACGCCCAACTCCTCATCATACGCCTCCTGGAATAATGGCATTCAAATAAAAAGGTGTGTTCATTTGCCAATTATTTTTTGTGGTGATTTCTCTTCGTCGATTTCTGAGCTCTTCACTTGTTTGTTTATCTTTTCCACTGAATGTAAATATCGAGTTTCATTCAAAATCGCCCTCCTCTTTTTTCTGCTTTTGTTTTACCTCGCCTAAAATTTGTGTATTTCTCGCGGCCGAATTTTCCAGCTCATTTCTCATATCAAATTTCGATTATTGAGGTTTATCAACGGAAATTGGTTCCCAAAATCAATTTTTTTTTACAAAAGTTGTTACGAAATCTCAAGGTCATTTTTTTCACGCTAACTAAAAACCTAATTTTGAAATTCGATTAGGCGATTGTCGGTCTCGTCGAGAAATTGACCGTTGATTATAAATCGCATAAATTTCTATAGTGAATTTTGATAAGGAAAAGCATGGCCGACTGTTTTTTTTTTGATAAGAAACACTCATCACCATTATTATTTCCATATTATTCTTTTTATACAATTTTGTACGAAATTTTTTCAAGCAAATTACTGAAAGGAATCAAATTTGAACTTCTAATTTCTTTTTTTTCAAATCAACGCGAAATGAACATAATTTTGCATGCGCTTTAAAATGCCTACTGTAATTTTAAGAATATAGTCTTTATTGAAAAGGCGGAGTTTTCTTCGATATTCAAATGTATAGCAATTTTTTTTTGAAATTTTTGATTAAAGTCTCTAAAACGCGAATGATTCAAATTCCCGCTCTTTTTTTCTAAATACGGCAATGTTTTGACAATCCAATTAGCGTTGCCCCTTCTATGATATTCACCTGCGGACATTCAAAATGATTCAGAAGCATTATTTTAAACAAATGAGTCATATTAAATATAAACCTTGACTCTAAAAATGGAAGGGGGGACTATATCACTTTATGGTCCCCATGGCAATGCAATTAGCAAAATTTGGGGGGGGGGTCACATTTGGTGGATGCGATTGCACAAAAATGCCGTGATGGGTCTATGAGGGCGTCGCCGCCGCCTGCAGCCACCCCCCCCCATTCCTGCCGAGTGTGTAAACCGACGAGTGTCTCGGCGCGCTCGTCGAGACGCAGACGACCCGCGGGAACATCGCAGCTCGTCGAGCCGAGATTCTCTTGGATTTGTGTGTTCGGGACGTCGATTCGACTCGCACTGATGCCTCACACTCTATACACCATTTCTTCCTCCCACTCCTCCAACACCGATCGAGTCTCATTGATTTTCATTTTTCGCGATCTTTTCCTCAATAATATTTGTCTGGCGTTTTTTGTTGTTGATATTCTCGTCGAACCTTTTTAGGTTCTGCGAAATTTAAAGGCGCACGCTCTCGATTAAAAAAGTCTGAAATATGCGATTTAAAGGCGCACGCTCGTAAATCGAAACAAGTTCAATATTATTTCAACAATGCCAATTTTCTTGAGGAAAACTCAAATATTTAAGTGTTGAACCTACTTCAACCCGATGTTTAATCTTTGAGGTCTTTATGATTATCACAATTACTCTTATAAAAAACCCCATGGTACTATTTTTGGAAAAAAATTTCGAAACCTGTGCAATTTTGCGTTTCGGTGAACTTGCGGACACTCAATTTTTTGAAGCAAAGATAGTAACAAAAATTTTTTAAATTATCGAAAACTCCACAAATTGTCTTAAAAACCACAGAAAATTCAAATATTTGAACAGTTTTTATGAAATAAAAATTGAAAAAAATTGATTAAAGGCGTAGAACGCGAAAAAATGTGACGCGTCTTGTCGATTTTCCCACATGGAATTTTCTCGAAATTTTCTTTTTCGCAGAATGAGGAAGCAGGAGGATGGAACAGCTGCTCCGTACAGTCGCCTCTCTAGCTCATGCTCATCAATACGGAGCACCAATTACTCGGTACAAAGACCATCGTACACGTCGAGGTTTGCGTCTCTCGTCATCTCATCGTCGATTTCTCATTCATTTCAGCATGAGCTCCTATAAGCCGTCGTCATACACGCCGGGCTCGCGATTGACAACCACATCGCATGAGGCGTCGTCGCCGCTTCCGAGCCGATCGCGAACATCCTATAGCAGCACCAGCAGCAGTACGACGCCGTCAAGCCTCTCGCGAACGTTGTCATCGTCGCGTAAGACGTTGTACACGAGTCCAGCGGCCGCGAGAGCTTCAGTGTCTGCGGCCGACAATCTGACGACGTCATCGTACGGCACACTCGGCAAATATAAGGCGTCGAATTTGGCCGATTTCGCCTCACCATCATCATCATCGACGAGAAGCTCGTTGAGGAGTCGAGCCATTGAGAAGACGCCCGATCATGCGTCGACGAATGGCCGAATCGATTTGGGTCCCACCACGCGCAGCAATATGGTCCATCCGACGTCGTCGCACATTCGAAGCCGCTCGACAAGCTATAGGTAGGCGCGAAATCGCGAAACCAATGAAATGCAATGCTCTTCTTTTTTTTTAGGACCATCAATGTCTCGCAATTCACACAGCAGGCCCGAGAGCGAGCCGATCGCGAGGAGAAGGATCGCCAATATCGCGAATGGTGCGAGCGCGAGATGGAGCGCGAAAGCGTGCAGAATTTCGACGCCATCATTTCGCCGCCGACGCCTTCCACTGCCGTCAACGACTTCAAGCGGGCGGTGACGTCGACGAGCAGCTATCGTCCGAGCTACGCCCGAGCCGACAACAATGTGGTGGCGTCGAGCTATAGCGCGGTGGCGCCGACAATCCCACCGCCTGGCTACTCATCATCATCGACATTGCTGCGATCGAGGCACGCTCCGACGGAGACCGATTATCGGACTGTGTCGCCGACGCCGAGCGCCAGTCCAGCGCCGCCACCTCCACCGCCACCGCCGCCACCACCATCAACATCATCAACAAACTCGTTGTCAATCTCGGGCGGCGCTCGCATTCCTCGAAGCATGTCGGCAGCGGTGATCGGCGCCACCGCTCATCCGCCCGATTACGCGGTTCGCGCGCCATATAAGCCGATGGCGAAAGTGTCGCCATACGACGACGACGTCGATCGCGGTTGTGTGGTGCCCGAGGGATTCACGGGCCTCCGAAACATTGGCAACACGTGCTTCATGAATTCGGTCCTTCAAATGCTCGTCAACAACATCGAGCTGCGCGAGTTCTTCCTCAAAGACCACTACAAAATCGAGATCAATGAGTCGAATCCGTTGGGATCGCAAGGACGACTCGCGCAGGCGTTCGCCGACTTCATGAAACAAATGTGGTCCGGAATGCACAAGGCCATCGAGCCGACGAAAATCAAGGAGATTGTCGCGGAGAAGGCGTCGCAATTCGCCAACTTCGCCCAACACGACGCACATGAATTTCTATCATTTTTATTGGATGGACTACACGAGGATGTCAATCGGGTAATCTGCGGGCAACTGTCGAGTTTCTGGAAATATTCAATTTTCAGGTGAAAAAGAAGCCGCTTACCGGTACTGTTGATAGTGATGGACGACATGATATTGACGTAAGCATTACGAAATTCTGCGCAATTTTGAATTGGGCGCCAATTTTTTACCCCAAATTTATTTTCTAAATAATTTATAACTATATTCGATTTTTTATTTGTGAAAAATTTGAAGAAATGCATGTTCAAAATAAAATTCGTAAGCGATAATCAAATGTGTGCAATTTTGCGTACGCCCAATTACGGACACCGCGCGTTATGTTTTTGAATTTTTTTTCGTCATCCGAGTTGGCCTTTTCTGCTTTATCAAACGCACGTTTTTCTAACATAAAATAAATTGCAGGTATCAAATGAAGCTTGGCATAATCATATTCTTAGGAATGATTCCATTTTTGTTGATTTGTTCCATGGACAATTGAAGAGCCATGTGCAATGCCCCAGGTGTGATAAGGTAATGCACGCGGCACGAAAAAAAACATGAGAATACGTAAAAATTGATATCAGATTTCAATCACGTTCGATCCATTCGTTTATCTGCCTGTGCCCTTTCCGAAGCTCAAGAAGACCCACAATGTGTATTTCTGGCCGCTCGACATGCAAGCAAAGCCCATTAAGGTATCATACTGTTCGCAATGTGCATATATTCTCATCGGCTTCTGCTAATTCCAGATAACCGTGTCATATTCTAATGAGGGCACTATTGCTGACATGTTGTCGGCGGTTGGTGGCGCCGCGCGAGTCTCGTCGCGAAATTTGCGAGCAATTGAGGCATTCGGTCATCGCATAAACAAGATATTTGCCAATGATGAGAAGGCGAGCGATATCGGACCATCGGATGTGATCTATGTGTTCCAAATTCACGATGAAGCTGATTGCAATGAGGAAATTGTTGTGTTGTACACGATTCAGCGCCAGCTTTTCCCAAACAGCTTGAGGTATTTGTTGATTTTCTGAAAAAAAAACTATCGAAGAATATTGCAAGTCCGCAAACACTGACTCGCACAGAGTACCGTATTCCGATGATTTTAATTTTGAAAAAAATCTCCAAATTTTTCTAGGTATATGTGCAATGAATGCGGGACCGCTCAAGGAAAATTGAAAGCTTGCGATGCCTGCTACAACGCCTACTATTGTTCAAAGTAATCGAACCATAGTATCATTGGGGGAATTCACAAAACTTGCAGGGAATGCCAATTGAACAATTGGTCTTCGGGTGGCCATCGTGACGATTGTCGGCGTCGGCCGACCAGCGATGTCGTCGGACAGCCGCTGATCGTCTCGTTCCCACGCTCGCAGTTGACCTACTCGCATTTGTATCGAGTTTTGGAAGCGAAAGCACGCCACACTGTCACCATTTTCCAACAACCGCAGTATGAAGCCAATCAGGAAGAAGGATCGTCCGAATCCGACGCGCTTGCTTTGCCAACGTCGACGATGAGAGTACGTAGCCAATTGAAAACAAAAAAATCATCGACAAGATCTGTAATTTCCAGACGAGATCTGGTGTTGGTGCTCCACCGTCGTTCCAGAACGCGGCGACCACTAGATCGACGGATAGAAGAAGTGAAGAAGCTCCGAAGCGACAGAGTGTGCTCGCTGAGCCGAGATCGAAAACTGAGAAGATGTTCGATGTCCGTAAGCTGAACACATCGACAGATTCATTCGGTGAAGTGATTTGTGAAGCAACACCAGGTATTTCAGTTCCGGAATTTTTTAAAATTCGCCAACCTACTCAATTTTTAGCCGAAGTCTTTGAAAAAATTCGATCCGGATCTTATATTTCTATTAATTGGATTAATCTGAGATTCGGAAAAGAGTATATCACGGTGGGCAATCGAGCGGAATTGGATATCGATGTTGACAAGAGCCGCCTGCTTTGCTCAGCGTCGTCGAACTCGATCGAGAAGGCTTCACGCAACGAAGCGCCGAAGTTGACGCAAATGCTGGTACGCCATATTTCGCACCGGTGTGAACCATTTTAGAGGGCATTTTCGTTGCAGGACCTTTTCTCGGAGACTGAGAGGCTGAAGCCGGAAGAGAGCTGGTATTGCTCGTCGTGCAAAGAGCACGTGGAAGCGACGAAAAAACTGCAGCTCTATCGTCTCCCACCGATTCTCATCATTCAACTCAAACGATTTGTGTATACTGGTATGTCGAGAGGTTCTAAAAAAAACATCTAGCCAAAATTTTTCAGCATTCACCCATCAATCATCGTTGCATCGCCGAAGCAAAGACGAGCGAACTGTGGAGTATCCGTTGGAGAATTTGGATATGTCGCCATTTCTTGCCGAAACCGCGCCGCCGCAAGCCTCAACGGTATCTCGTCGAAATGGGTGTTAAAGGAATTTCCAATTTGTTTTTCAGACATATGATCTTACTGGAGTTGTGTGCCATAATGGCTCCAGTTATTTTGGCCATTATATTAGTATGGGACGGCTCGCCGATTTTGATTCGAGAAAATCGAAAATTGGTTAGTTCGCAATGAATTAGACGTTTGAACTACAGTAAACATCAAAGGCGCATGCCAAAATTTGTATATTTCGCCACAAAACCTTAAATTAAATTTCCGATTGTAACTTATCGAACATTAAAGAATTATTGTCAAAACTTTAAGGTACTCCAAAGTATTATAATAATTAACCTAAAGAATTGTTTGAGAATGCTATTGAAGCAGAAAATATTCAAAATTTTCAAGATTGGCGCCAATTCGATGACTCGATGGTGACACGCCAATCGGCATCGAATTTGCACACCGACGACGCTTATTTATTGTTCTACAAACTACGCGACAGTCAGGCGACGCGGCAAATATTCAAGTAAACTCGATAGTGATTGGAGTTGCATTGAAAATTTTTCGAAATTTCCAGAAAACATTATTCTTGCGATCCCGGCGATAATGATGATGAGATTGTTGAAAAAATGTGAGAAGACGACGGTTATCGGAAAACTTCGGTGCTTTCACAAAAAAAACCCCCATCACGCCTACTTCCCTTTTATAGTAATGTTGTTGACGTTTTTGCCTAATCTCAAAAAAATTTCTTTTGAATGCCGGTTCAACCATTGTTATTATTTAAAATAATAATAAAAATTACATTGTCATGAAGTGACAAGTTTGAAAAATTTGAATTGCTTGGACTTTCAGTTAATTGGTTTCCAAATACTTAAAAATAGTTTTTTTAAACCATGCTATTTCATATTATGATGGATAAATTAAGCAAAACTTGCCCAAAGCAGTTGTTCCATACGAGACCCAAGGCGAAGTTTCAAGAGATAAATCAATCACGACCTGAAACCCCCGTCAAAATTTCTAATCAAGTGCCGTCACACCATGACGACTGTTTGAAAATCGTCCTTTCGAACAATGTATTATCAATACGAAGAAATAGCACGTGGCGTTGAGAGACGCGTCGGGTCAGAAATCAACCGTTCGATACGTGTTGCGTTTTTGATTCGCGATTATCGACAACAATGAGCGAGCAAAAAGGGAAGAAAATCGTCGTTTTTGGAAGCATTGTTCAAGATTTGATTAGGTAAGAAGAAAAATAATTAAAATAAAAAACTATCGTAACATTGTCGTTGCAAGATATTTCAAAATACACACTATGTTCCTTTGAACATGCATTCTATTACTGTAATTTGTCGTTTTTTCATTTTTGTTAGTTCAGTTATTTTTTGCCCAAATTTTTCGCTGATAATCGCATTTCAACGAATTTAAGCTATACGGAACGATTTCCGCGACCCGGTGAATCTGTTCGCGGCGACTCATTTCAGCTTGGAGCCGGCGGAAAAGGAGCAAATCAAGCTGTCGCCGCTGCTCGATTGGGTGTCGATGTCTCCATTATTGCCATGGTACGTATTAAAATAGCAATTTTAAAGAAGCGAAAACTCTGGGAATTTGTGAACCATTGTTTTTTTTTCGCAGTGGTAACTCAAATTTTAGTTTAAACTAACCGTACGTTCATACAAGGTGCTCGATTTTTTTTTGCGATTGTAAAAAATTCGACGTAATAGTTTTCTCTCACGCAGGTCGGCGATGATATTTTCGGCGAGTCGAACATCAAATCCCTTCGAGACCAGGGTGTCGATGTTTCATCGATCGGCGTCTCGACGAAAACGCACACGGCGACGGCGACAATCACAGTGACGCGCGAGGCGGAAAACTCGATTGTTGTGACGCTCGGCGCGAATATGGAGCTTGTTTCCGATGTCGCCGACAGTCATGAGACGACGATTGCGGACGCTTCAATAATTGTGTGCCAAGGCGAAATTCCCGAAATCGCGAATCGTCGCGCTTTCGAGATCGCGAAAAAGCATGGAGGTGAGTTTGTCTATTATAGTCGTCGCCCGGCGACTGCTGCAAGCGGGTAGATTTACGGGGATGCGTCTTTCTCTTGGTCTCGCGCGGACTAACAGGTTATTTTACATTTTTTGGATCAATTCGGTCATTTTTCGAATTACTTTGGAAATTCAAAGATATGCCAAACTCATCAAGAAAAAAATTAAACCGTTCAAGTGAAAACGGCAAAATCGGCTTTCAGGCGTTGCGAGACCATTTCAAGGCGCTTGCGCGTAAATCTACTCGCCTACAGCAGTCGCCAGACGTCGACTAAGCGCTTGCAAAAAAAAAACAATTCGGAATTTCAGTCACAACATTCTTGAATCCTGCCCCAGGCGATCCAAAAATGGACAAGTCGATTCTCGAACTCACCGACATCTTGTGCACCAATGAAAACGAGGTAATGGCGTTCGAAACGTTCTCAACCAAATTCGGTTTTTTTCCACTTCAGGCCGAGTTTTTGACCGGAATTTCTCCGGACACGCCGGAAAACGGCGAAAAGGCGATATTGAGAATGCTCGAAATGGGCCCAAAACACGCGATTATAACATTAGGGCCAAAAGGTGGCGAAAAATGTGATTTTTGTTTTCAACACTTATTAATTTCCAGGATGTTTGCTGGCTTCAAAGGGACATCAGCCGAAGTTGATTCCAGGAAAGCATGTAGAAGCTGTTGACACCACTGTAAGTTTCGCGCATTTAGTCATTTTAAAAATTTCGAATTTCGCGCCAAATTCTAATATTTTTCATCAACTTTCCTTTGCCTAACCAAAATCGTCTAAACGTAGAATTTGAAAATGGTTTTTTTCGCTTCTGAGTTCTCTTCTCTGATATTCGCCTTTAAGAAACAATCGTATGTAATAATGACTTGAAAAATTTGCCCGAATGCATTTAATTAATGCCATAGCCGTTTCGAGGAATCGACTAATTTGAACAACTTGATTCCAATTGCAAAGAAAAGGATGAACAATTTGCACTCCTACAGACTCGCCAACAACTGTTTTTTGTCTTTGCAAACAAACCAAAAAAATTGTTGATCGATACACTCAATGATTTTCGTCTGGCTTCTCGCAAAAATCGTCGACATCCCTGTTGAACTTTCGCTAATTTGAATCATCGAAATTGGTGAATCGCGAGACAACGTGTGCCCGCAAAAATTTAATGCACTTTGAAATTCCGACAAATTCAAACCCTACAAATATCATCAAACGCCTTATCGGAATCCTCATCTAAACTATATCTATTCTAGGGCGCCGGCGATTGCTTTTGCGGCAGCCTCGCCGCTCTTCTCCTCAAAGGCGTCGCCATCGATGAATCGACGCGAATCGCCGCCAATCTCGCGTCGCTCTCCGTCACCCGCAAAGGTACCCAATCATCATATTGGCGTCTCGACGAGATCCGCCGCCATCATCCCAATCTTCTTCCATCAACATTCTAGACACACACGCATACAAGGCGTTCCATTCAATTTTATACAAAAAAAGAAACCAACAAGTCAACGATAAAACAAATCCATTTAATTGTAAATAAATAATATATCAGTTAATAGGAAATATTTAGAATCGCAAGAAACTAGTGGGTTATCATCACAATAATTACACACAATAAGTTGATGTTGTTGCTGCTGCTGGTGAAGAGAGAAACTACTAAGAAGACGTTTGACTCTAACAATGTTGATGATATGAGGGAGGGTAGTTCAGAATCCCTGAACGAAAAGAAACAAAAAAGATTAAAATTCAAAGCTTAGTATACAAAAGAGTGTTTTGGCTATTTCTGTGCTAATGGCAACGGGATATCAATTAAAACAATTCGTACAACCGAGTTTGTGTTTGCCTCAAATACAATCAAGTTACAAAAAAAGAAACAATCACCCATAGATGTAAAGTAAAAATTAAAACAGTCACGGTAATTAAGAGCTAATCATTTAAGAGGAACAAAAATGAAACATCTAAGTACTTGTTAGATTTCCACAAGGAAAACATCAAAGTTAAAAAAAAAACGAAGGCTGGCTGGGTGGCAATTTAAGGGAAAACAAATAAAATATACATTTATATGTATAGACAAGAACGTAGGCTACATCACTCGCTAGAAGCTAGACAATTCAATGTTGGCTCGTCGTCGTCGTCTCCTTGTCGTCGGCATTGCTAAGGATCACAAGAAGGTAGCGAATCTAAAAAAATAAGATACATCCCTTTAAAACGCCCACAGATGAAATTGTTGAATACCTGCTTGGCGTTGAGATGCGCCAGAAGATGGGGACTCAAATTCGACAAGTAGGCGTCCACCGATTCCGACGGCGCGAACACATGAACTCGAGCCGCGTGCAGCTTCTGAAAACAACATTTCAGCATTGGTTGGCGACTTTGAGAACATCATCCACTCACCCCATCTCCTTCTTCCGGCAAATTTGCGATTCCAACAATATTTTTGCTCGTCAAATAATTGATAAACTGCATCTGAATCTTCTGCTCGTTGAAGTCGATCGTGTCGCGATCATAGCCGGCCGCGAGTCCGACGCAACACGTGAATTCGCCGTTCAACAATCGGAATATGTCGTTGACGCATACTGAAACAAATAATTGTTTCAATAAATCATCTCATTCCCTCCCCCACAAAAAAAACCAAAATTTTGGCGAACAACAACACACACAAAAAAAGACCTCAAATTGTATACACTTATGTGTCTCTCTGTATGTGTGTGTTCAAACAAAAAAATAAAGAGAGACTTAGTCGCTTCTAGAGAGACAATAGAGTCCGAAACGAACACCACACACATTTTTTTCCTCGCGTTGCGCGAAAAACAACCAAAAACAGCTCGACTTTGACCTATTGTGTGGGATTTCAGCGAAAAACAAAAAAATGCGCGATTTTTCAAAACACATGCTTTTTTTTTTTTGAAAGACCGACCACAATAAAGTTTTGGAATCGAGTTGAAAAATTGATAACAAAATTGTTAGACGTTCCCCTTGAAATATTCAAATTCACCCAATTAAACGGGTCTCGTCGCGAAATTCAAACTACGCACATCGCCCAAAACCTGAATGTCGCGCTATCTCTCATTTTCAACTTTCGAAACAAAAAATTCTTTCTCTGCATGGGTTGCCATCGAAAGCGAAATTCGCATTATCGAGTTTCCACCGCGTCTTTTGTTCAATTCATAATCAATAATCAGGAGGCCAACCAAACAAGCTGCTTCGTTTCGAATTTCTCATCGGAACCCCTCGCCTCCCCCATGGGAGATCCATAAAGACCAAAAAAAAAAGAAATAAAACATACACGCTCCACCTTCCATTCGGAATCGCTGATTGATTTTCACCGTCTGCCGAATCGGCGGCACATCGCCAACATAATTGCCGAGGACCGAGTTGAGAAGCGTATGGTTTCCCGACACAACGTGCAGACTGATGCTCGTCTCCGCCGATTTCATACTCAACGTTCCGCTCCATGATTTCGGGTAGATCTGAAATGCAAGAAAAAAAATGTAATAATAATTGTGGAAAACACACAAGATACAAAAATCCAGCGAGATTAGACGCCAGATATCCCCCCATTTCCCATCATCATCATATTATTCGTTCGAATATTATTATTATTATGTTACTCATGCTTATTATTTTTTTATTTTTATTTTCGTATATACAGCTATTTTTTTATGCCGGCGCCGCCGCTGCTGCTGTTTTTGGTCTGCCGTTCTTGGAAAAACAACAACACTACTGCGCAAAAAAATAAATTGTTTTCGTCGTCGTCGTCGTCGTCGGCTAAGCTTCAACGAATATATATATATATATATATATATATATATATATATATATAGATATAGATATAGATATAGAGAGAGATGAAAGAGACATCGTCGGCGGAAGAAAGAAAGAAAGAAATTCCACGCAGAAGAAAAAAGAAGAAACCGCCTCGCCGTCGTCCCCACCCGTCATGTGACATTCATTTATTGATGGCTCACCTTGTCAAAGTTCTCATCGTTGATCGATTCGGCGACGATCGCCTCGTTGCGATGCGATTTGCCAAGATCGCCAATCTTTTGCAGAAATTCGGCGGGCAATGTCGTCGACGCGTCGACGTCCGGCGACGTCGGACCCGACGAAAGGCTTCCCGTTGACGGCGATGTCGATCCCGACGAGTTCGTCACCGTCGCTTTCGACGGAATCCGACGAAACGCCGAACCGGCGGCACCCATCTTCTCATCATCGCAATCGGCATCATCCATTTTCTCATCAACGACGAGTTTTTCCTCCTCGTTCTCCTTATCGCCAAACTCTTCAAGCAAAATGATATCCAATCGACGCATGACCTCCTTCCGGAAATACTCGTTTTGAGCCTTCTGCTCATTCGTCAAATTCTGGAACATCACCTTGTACGGCGGTGTCGGCTCTCTCGGCGGCGTTTTCGCCGCAGTCGTCACCACTGCCATCGGATTTGACGACGTCGGCGCCGGGCAGCTTCTCTTCCGATCCGGCTGCGCCATCGGAATCGTTCTCTTTAGCGACATGTGATGCGGCATATTTTGTGGAACCGCAAACGTCGGCGCCGTAGTGACAGCAGAATGCTGCTGCTGATGTTGCTGTTGTTGTTGGGCGCTTCGAATCAGCATCGAGAGAAGATCCGGCTGATTCGGCGCAATCGTCGAGCCCAACACATCGCCGGCGTTCAATTGTTGCGACAACATGTTCATTGTGAGAAGCATTCGCGACAAATTGAGCGGATTCTGAATCGATTGGCTCAATGCCAAAAGCGATAGCGGATTGAGTGCGGCCGCGTTTGAGGCGAACGGAGTCATCTGCGCCTGCATTCCGAGCAGCGTCTCAATGCTCGGCGTGGCGACTGTGGTTGGTGGCGGTGGTGGTGGTGGCGCCAATTGCGTCGTTTGAATTTGTTGCAACAATTGGGCAATATCGCTGGCGTTTAGCGCCATCGGCTTCGGTGTTGCTTCGTCGGCCATCTCGATTGAAATTGAACGGGACACAGAGCGAGGAAGGGCCAGGTGGGGAAGGGAAGGGAAGGGGTGATGGGAGGTGAATCAAACACAACCAGAATGAATTGAACGGGCCGGGCCGCAAGATGTCTCGCCTTTTTCTTCTTTTTTTTTACAAAATAAAAGAGAGGAAGGCAACAAGAAAATAACAAAAAGTGCACGCCGAGTGCAATGTCAATCAGTCGGCGATCAGTCGGCCAAATTGAAACCAAAAAAAAATTGATGGGTCTGGGAGGCGAAATATCACACAATTTATGTAGTTATATTAGATTTATACAAAACTTCTTTTTTTTCTCACTTCAATGAATGTGTCAATCAGTGACGAATTCCCGGAAAGAAAATAATAATTGACATGCGCGCGCGCGTTGGCGTGATAGTGACTAGTATTGGTGGCGGGGGTGTCGAGGTAGATTTCGGAATACAACTTCGATGGGTGAGATTATGTCAATGGGTGTTTGAGGTAGAGAGGTAAGGTTTGCACAAAAAAAAGCAGCGCTCAAATCTCGTCCATCAGCGCATGATTGAAACGAGTCCAAATGGTTTTAAAGTAGTTATAATAGTAGTGGCAGTAGGTGGGAATGATGGTAATCGCAATATACAAATTGGAGCTGGAGCAAAGTAGAAACGTACTCCTCAACAAGAAATGTATGAGTGTGTATGTTTTTTTTTCTTTTTTGCCGACTAGAGGGTACGGGGACGAAGCGCTCAGTCGATCGAGGCAGTGAAAACGACGGGAGAACAGACAACAAAAGTGTACGTAGGCTTCTTCTTCGTCGTCGTCGTCGTTCACCGACACAAAAACTGGCAAGGAATGGGAGGAAAGGCGCGCGTGAGGAACTACGCGTGGCGCAGAGGCGACGCGAAACACACAAAAAAATGGGCGGTCCCATTCACAACAGCAGCAGCAGCAGCAGCACAACGCGGCGCGTCGACGGCGCGCGAACGCACAAAAAAAAAATAATGCGCTTCGATTTTGTCGCTCGCAATGAAAGACATTGAGCGAATACCAGATAGCCCTGAAACACTGGCGTGGCGCTGGCGAGCGAGCGAGCGAGCGAGAGAGAGAGAGAGAAAGAGAGTCGAACGGAACGATATTGCGATTGACTGACTGGACTGACGATGAACGTTGTTCGTGGAGGTCTCTTTGCTCTCGCTCTCGCTTCTCATTTCCTCTCAAAGTTTACTATGCTACGCATAACTATGTCGGTTGTGTATAAATGTTCGAAATGGCGCCGCGTCTGAACCGCCAGGCACCGGTTGGCACTCCGTCCCCCCACCACCCATTCCTCTTCCTTCTCCTCGAATGCACGCAACACACAAGCGTTCAAACTTTCAAGCGACACAATGAATCGACAAGGTCCGTTGGTCGCGTGTAAACAAAATTTTTTTCCAAAGGCTATTTCTCGCAAGTCCAGCAATGGCGTGGGGGGGCGAACAATAGGAAAAAAAAGATTTTTGTTTACACCTCTATTTTTGGATAAATATTAATGTTGCATTTTGTCTAGACCGCCCTGTGATTCTGGAATTGTTGGCTGGTTGCCCCTGATGCGAACCACCCATCTCCAACCACTACCAGCCACCCAAACAGCACCGAAAAACAACAACCCGCCCAACTCGCCACCCCTCTTTTCCATCAAGGTTCATCGCGAATAACAAACATCGAGACAGCAACGAGGAGTCTGTCAACATCGACGCAAGGGCGAACGAACGAACGAACGAACGACCAACCGAACGAGGGAGAGGGGGAGCGTCCAAATAGCAAAACAACACAATACAAAAAAACCCTACCGAGTACTACCCAATACTTTTTTTTTGAATTGATGATGGGAAATAGTATGAGTGATACGAAAAACGGTATACATATCAAATAAACTAACCGATTGAATTCTCATTCCAACGTGATTCGTCGTCGGCTGACCATTCTCTTGTCCAGACGCCGCTGGCGCCATGTGGTGTTGCGTTGGCGCTGTCGATAGCCCATTTACAGCGCGCGGCTGAAACTTAATGAATTAATGAATCGATCTTGATCGTATCAAACCTCTTCAACAATCGCGTTGCCATTCGTCAGCGGCATTCGCGTCGGCACACTTCGTTGTTGCGGCACAGTCGTCGCCGACACCGCTGCCGCCGTCGATGGTTGCGACGATGGCGTCGGCTGAATCGGCGGCGTCGATTCGGGCCGTCTCGTCGGCATCAACGCGATCGTCGTCGGTAGGCCCATGGCGGCGGCGTAGAACATTATCGGATTGCCGGACAAATCGCTTGGCTGAAAAATTTCGGCAATAATTCATCACTATTACCCACTGACGAAGACCGTACCATAAAATTACGCGCATAGTGTTGGCTAATATCAAACTCCTTCATTTTTTCGGCTTCCCGCTGCAATTCCAACTCGCGCTGCTTCTCGAGCTCCCGCTGCTTCTCGCGTTGCTCCCGCTGCTTTTCGAGTTCACGCTGCTTTTGAGCGGCCTTCTCGCGCTTCTCGCGCTCCTTTCGCTCGCGATCATCCTGAAAACCGATAGATAAGCACATCAACGATTTTCGATTTTTTCGCCACTCACCTTCTCGCGCTTCAATTGCGCGTCGGCCAAAAATTTCTCCTGTGCCGCTTTCGTCATTATGTCAACTGCAAAACGCATCATTGAATAAATCAACAAATTGCAATTTTTTTCGCTGAGCTCACTTAAGAACGACGACGTCGTCGGACACGCGCCCATACTCATTTGCGCTAGTTGTTGCGCGAACGGCGAATGCATTTGTGGAGTCAACGCGGCGCGACTCGCCGCAATCAACGATGGCGACTGGAATGGAACAATTAATTAATTAATTAATTCGAGCGTTTAAAACTCACAAAGTGCTGTTGCAGATTGAAGGGTTGTGGTATCTGAATCGGCGTCGGTTGATGAATGACAGGCTGCGGTTGCGGAGTGACGACGATTTTCGGCGAAACGAGTGGCAAAGGCGTCGACGCGCTCGGCGCCTCGGTCACCACGATTTTCGGCGATGGCGCCGCCGACGGAACATCTGACGGCGCAGTGGCCGACGCCGGCGTCGCTGTCGTCGATGGCCGACTCGGTGGCACTTCGTCGACATTCGGCGTCGCCTTCTCAGCCGCCTCAACCACATCGACGGGAATCGGCGACAACTTCTTTTGCGCTTCCATCTCCTGTTGCGCTTGAACGAACGCGATCATCGGATTCGACGGCGGTCGCGGCGCCATGACAACTGATGCGGGCCGCTCTAGAATCTCCGACACTTCCGGCGTCGCTTTCTTCGATGACGTCGACAGTCTCGGCGAGGTGAGCGGCGTGTTGTTGGCCGACGCCTGACTTCCCTTCTGCTGTTGCTGCTTCTCTTCTTCTTCGACAACCGGCTCTTCACAATAAATTTCTTCCATAAGTTGATCCTTTATAAATCGCAAAAATTAGAAAAAAAAATAAAATAAATAACTGCATACGTCAGTGATATCATCTAGAATCTGCTTGCCAGTGGCGATCGAGAACAACGCAACACTTCCATCCTTGTTGATCACCTTGCGAACCGAGTTCGGCGACATCATCGACTTCTTCTGTTGTTGTTCGCTCGACTTGCTCGGCGATTTTCCGTCAACATCTTTGCCGTCTTTCGATGACACCGACGATTTTCTCGATTTCGGCGTCTCCGCAATGAAATCGTGCGACGGATACTGCGGCTCAAGCATGTCCTCCTCGTCGAATATCGATTGAACTGCATCGGCGGTTTCCTGAAAACGGCTCGAAATATTCGTTGACGCGTCGCCATGTGTGTCAGTGTGAAATTAAACACAAAATACACTTCGAGTAAAAGAAAACCACTAAACTACATCAAGCCTACCTGTTCGGTGATCAAGCTTATCGGATTCTTCGGCAACGAATCCTCAAAACTCGTCTCGAATTGCGCTGGCGCGCCGGCTGGGCACTCGGACGCTGACGGCTTCTCGACCACCACATCATTCGGCATGTCCACGTGCGCCTTCAGCGGTTCGGACTGCGATTCCGTCTCCGGCTCCGGTGGGTGCTCATGCTCACATTGTGATTCATTCTCGACTTGACGACTCGACACTTCATGCGCATCATCTTTGACCGACTCGCTCGCCGATTCTTGAGAGCTCATCGAATCGCGTTTCGCGGCCATGTCGCGCTCAACAATCGTCTCCTCTTCGACGCCATTGTCATCGGCCGATTCTTTCGAATTTGACGCGCTCGCCTCCTCGGCCACAATCGATTCGACGCGATTTCTGCCGGTCAGCGCATTATAGAACAACGAGACAGGCGTCGGCTCTGGACTCGGCGTGCGCATTCTCACCTGAAACCACATCAACAAATCAACGACATCACGCAAGTTACATTCCCGAGGAAAAAAAAATAACATTTTTAAATAATTAAAAGTAATAATAATAATAAAGACAACGCAGGCTTGTCAGAAAACAACTTGACGAGTTCGAATAAGTTCAAAACTAACCGCTTCATAGGTTTTGAGAGCCGCTTTCGTGAGCACCGGCGGCGGACGTCGATTCTCGCGCTCAGCAACCGCCGGCTCCGTGTCGAGTTTCGGCGACGATGCGCGCTTCTCCGCCGATGGCGATGGCAACGCCGGCGGTTTCGTCGATTCATCAACCACAATCTCCTCTTTCTCGACGCCATCGGGAAGCGCTCGCGGCGGCGAACGCTTCATGTCCATCGGTATGAGATCATTGTGCTCCTCCTCTTCGTGTTCCTTTTTCGTCTCATCCAGTGTTGCTGACGACGCCACAGACGATTCCTTCGACGACGTCTTCTTTCGACGCGATGTCGTCGGCTCATCAATCGTGGCATCCGAAGCATCTTCCGGTTCGATTCGAGCCTCCTTCTTATTCGGTCTTCCATCTAGAAAAAAATGAATCAATAAACCTGAACACCAGAATCAAGTCCTACCATCAGTCGAATCATCTTCTCGCTGCCTCTTCCTACGCTTCTTCTTCTCCTTCTGAGCGGCGGGCTCCTCAAACATCTTCTTCTTCTCGTGATACTTGGCCATAATTCGCGAAACTTCCGCAGTGATCTCAGGATCCTCCTCATCTTCATTGCGTTGCCGCTTCGCTTTCGGTTTTCCATTCTGAGCCTTCGATGTGGACGGAGTCGAAGTCGGATTCGGAGCAACAACTTGCGCCGGTGGTGCTGCCGCCGGCGGCGGTGACGCCAACGACGGTGTCGCCGATGATGTCGACGGTTGCGCACCGTCATCAACCGACTCCAGCCGTTTTCGCTTCTTCTCTTTGACTTTCTTCTCTTTCGCCTTCTTCTTCGACGTCGTCGCTTTCTCGTCGTCGCCGCTGTCCGATCCGGCGCCGAACACATCATCCATGTCGAGTTGTTGCGAGTTCTTCTTTTTCTTTTTCTTCTTCTTCACCTTCTCCTCACCCTCATCATCCGATGACGATTCATGCGTTTTCGACGCCTTCTTCTTATGCTTCGGCTCGCCGTTCGGCTCCGAATCGTCATCCTTGCCGGAATCGGAAGACTCAATTAGAATGCGTCTCTGAAATCAAACAAACACAGATTAGGCGTCTCTATGATGGCGGTGGTGGCCGCCGCTGCCGCCGCCGCCGACGACGACGACGAGGCGGCCGACAACCCCCCAAACAGCTCTCGCACGCGTACCCTATTATCATTATTTTGGTTCTTCTGCCGAATTTTTTCAAGCGATTCATTCTTCGAATGCTCAACTCTCGCACGCCTCGATTTCACATTGTCGTAAATTCCGCCGCCGGCGAGTATCAATGCAAGCTCACGATCCTAGAAAAAATATCGAAACTAATCAAAATAAGAAAAAAAAGTAAATAATTATAATAATATGTATAATAATAATAATAATAATAATTTCGTGTTCAGTTGGCGGGTTGGCAGAGGGAGTGATGATTACTAGCACTAATCAAAACGATCGATCGACTAAGTGACTTGAATTCACATGCATAGCATAACCGTGCGAATGTCGGGGCTGCGCGAAGGGTGGGGTCGGAGGAGGAAGTAAAAACAAAACTTATGTCGTTTTCTCTCACCACGAAAACGTTCGATTACTGTAGACAGGGTTTAATATACATGATTTCATCAATAATTTTTTTTGTTGCAACAATTTCGACGAAAATGCACAGACCCGACGTGTATACAAAGTCACAAAAACACTGAATATCAAGAAAGCGATTCGTGTTAAATTTGATGCAATCAATAGTGCTTACAAGCATGAATTGTGTGTGTGTGTGTGGAACTGTTAATGATGCCGTATATATGTATATATATAAATATAAATGATGCCGAATACACAACGCTCTCACGCACCACTCGACGACCACCCAGATGTACAACATTTAACAGTGAACCGAGCTTCATTTTCTTTTCAAGCATTCATTCCAAATGAATCTCGCCAATCTCATACCTTTTCTTCCTGCGTTTGCGGCTTCTTCGGCTCCTCCTCTTCCTCGCTATCACCGCTATCTTCCTCGCTCGACGATTCGCGTTTGCTCCTCTTCCGCTTCTGCTGCTGAAGTTGCTGCTGTTGAATTTGCTGCTGTTGCTGAATGAGAAGCTGTTGCTGTTGTTGCTGCTGAAGCAGAAGTTGCTCTTTCATCGCCTTCTTCTTCTCTTTCTTCTTGCGCAACTCCTCCTTCTCCTTTTCCTTCTCCTTTTCCTTGAGAAGAAGCTTCTGCTGCTTGCGCTCCTCCTTCTCCTTGCGCGCCTTCTCAAGCTCCTTGCGCTTCATACGCTCCTCCTTTGTTTCAAGCGTTCCGTCTTCCTTGACCTTTCGCTTGTGCTCCTTCTTCGACTCCTTCTCTTTCTCCTTATCCTTGTCCTTCTTCTTTTTCTCCTTTTCCTTTTCTTTTTCCTTCAAAAAAATATATCAAGATGGTATAATCGGGTGCTGAACAAAAATCGGACACCAGAATCTGTTCCCCAATAAGAACCAACAGAGTTTCCGCACTATGCACCTTTAATCAATTGTTAAATGTCTTTAATCACAATTTTCATTAAAATTTTTAATTCTTTCAATAAAACTTTTCAGAAAATATAATAGAAAATTGGAGACAATGTAGATTTTAAAGTCAATTTGACCAATGTCGAAAATATTTTTGGGATTAATTAAAGGCGCACACCGTTTTTGTTCTCGGGCTCACATCTCGGTCACAGTTTTTTTTTCAGATTTCCGACAAAAAAAATATATATTTGGTAATAAATTTACGTGACCGCACGCGAACCGCAACGCGTCTACCAAGAAAATACTTTTCAAATATTAATCCTATCCACATTTACAAAACTATTAACAACGAACCTTTACGACGACGGGAACACTCGAACTCGAACTCGGAGTTGGAGCTGGAGCAGCTGGTGTCGTAATCGAAGACGATTTCTTCTCAATCCTTGGCAACTTCTTGATGTCCATCGTCGATGGTGTGTTGTGCACAATATGATTGAACACATCATTGGCGGTATCCTAAAACAATTGTTATTATTATTCTAAATCAAATCTCCACCAAAACCTTCTGAATCACGGGCTTCTTCACTTCCGACATCGACACCGATCGATTCTGCAGCGCACTAGCCGCAGCCGACGGTGGCGGCTTCGAGATCGAGTCATGCCTCGCAACAATCTTCTCCGGCGGTCGTAATGGCGTCTTCATCGGCATATGCGATTTCGGCGTTCCGTCATTCGGAATCGACGAGCGCGGCGTCTGCGAAGCGTTCGGCATTCCGTTCGTTGTCGCCGTCGTCGACGACGGCATTCCCGGCGGTGGTATTTTGTTGTTGAATGCCGGAACCGGCGGACTTCGCAACGATGTCGCGTTCATGTTCGGACCACTCGACGAATCCCGTCGATAGTTGGGCGTGTGGTTCTTCTAGAAAATCGATCAATAAAATTCCGCCAAAACAAAAAAAAACACGAATCGTTACCAAATTCGGCGGCTGCGGTGGCGCCGACAACAACGGCGACGCCATTTGATCCATATGCGATGACGACGACGGCGGCGGCACACCGGCAATGATATTCGGCGGCAGAGCCGGCGGCGGAACCGACAAATTCGGCGGAAACACGACGCCGCTCGTCGAATGTCTCGACAATCCCGCCAATGCGGCCGGTCGCGTCGCCGATGACACCGAGCTATGACGCGACGACGTGATCGGCGACGGTTGCGACAAATTGAAGTTTTTCGGCGTGTACTGCGCCGGCGTCTGCGGCGTCGAGCTTCCCGGCGGTATCGATATCGATAATCCATGCTGTGGTTGCTGCTGCTGCTGCGGAGGCGGCGGCGGCTGTTGCTGCTGCTGATGATGATGCATCGAGTGCTGATGATGCGCCGAATGATGTTGCGGGTGGCCGTGTTGCGACGAATATGATGGATGATGAGAATGCGGTGTTGAAGGCTGCTGATGAGCCGATGACGTTGACGCCTTCACAAAATAATCATAATGCGATGGATGCGAGTCCATCGATGTCTGAAATTCAGCAACCAATCAATCACGATCAACAAGAATCAAACAACAAACCCTGCTTCGCATATCATCCTTGTGATGCGACCCGGTAAAATCGGCAAACTCGTTAGCATTCCGCTGCGATTCCAACGTCTTCAGTCTCGATTCCAAGTCCAGCGTCGTCGATGACGACGTTGAAGCGGCTGATTGCTGCGAATGCGATTGCATTGATGTCGATGGTCGAATTCTGTCATGATCAATCCTCTTCGGAGGCAATTGCGTCAACGGCGACTGAATCGCAGACGTCGACGGCATGTCGCGCGGTGTCGTCTCATCGCGACTCCCATCCGTTGATGGTTTCGTCGGCCGACGCGCCGATATCTGCGCCAGCTTCTGACCAAGGGAGTCGATTCTCTGCAAATAGAAAAACATCAAATAAAGTCGAAATAACAACTTCAAGCATACCTGTCGAACTTGAGAACGATCGATGCTTCCATTCCTTTGCGAATTCAGCACCGCATCCAACGCCGTCGGCGGCGGTGACGAATATTGCACATGATCATCGCCCGAATCATCGCTATTCCTAGACATCCCGTTGTTCGCCTTCGACGGCAGTCTCGAATCGTGTGGCGCGTGTTCGCCACTTTTCGACGATAGCCTTCGCGTCTCGCTGATATTTTCCGGAACACCATCGCCGGAACGATGGCGATGGTGATCGATAGGTCGCGTCGTCGACTGCGTAAACGACGAAGCAATGTCACCAACGCTCGTATCATTCGGCGGATGGCTTGACGATGACGCCGTCGAGGCGGTTCTCGACAGCTCGCGATGGCGCTGTTCCCTCGAATCGCGAATGTTGGCGCTCAATCGCGCGCGCTGCTCTTCTTCGAACCGCTGCCGCATCACCGTCTCGTTGAAGAACGACGGCGCAATCGGATAGACGGGCAAATATTTTGGTAGATCAATGAACGGGTAGGTTTTGCGTAAAAGTCGCGGATCTTCGGGCTCCGATAGATTTTCAGCGGGCGGCAGTCGGCGTTCACTCGGCGCCCGTGTCGCACTCCGATGGTGGCCGTCTTGCGAACGATGATCACCGTTATGATGTCGTTCCGTCGCCGCCACAACTGACGATGACGATGGTACGGCGTCGTCAATGGCGTGTTTGGTTCCATGCAGTACCGGCGCCGGCACACGATGCGGTTGTTGAACTTGCGGCTGCATTTGCGGTTGGAGTGGAGCACGAATTTGCGGCGACATCAACTCATTCTGATCGGCGTGTTTTGGTGTCGCCACCGAAACTATAGGCGGTGGAACCGGTGGTGCTGGTAATTTGGCATTTTCTGAGAAAAAAAAATTAATAAAATGTCAAGTTTTTAAAGCAGCTTACTATGAAAAGATTCTCGAACTGGTTCTGACGTGTGTCGACTCGTTGAAGCGCGCGGCGAGCATCTGGCATAGGCTGCCGGTAGATCGTTGTTCGGTGTTGAGTGCATCGATCCGGAATCTCTTCGATCACGATGACGAGCTGCAAAATGACCAAAAATTGATAACACAACAAACACCATAAGCACACTCACAATGTCCCGAGCTTGACGATGATCGTGAAGAGCTTGATCGCCTCCTCCGCCGACTTTTCGATCGTCGATGCTTCCGACGCGACGGCGATCGACTTGACGACTTCCTTCTCGTTCGCGAATCGTCCGACGACGACGATGTGCTTTCCGATTCCGATGAGCTATCCGACGATCTGCTACGCTTCTTGTGCCGTTTGTCATGCCGATCACGCCGACTCCTCGACGAGTTCGACGTCGCATAATGTCGCGGACGTTCGCGATCATAGCTGCGCTCATAGCTTCGCTCATAAGCTCGCTCGCGATCGCGTGTTCTCGAATGATCGCGATCGCGCGACGTCGAACGATCACGTCGCGATGAGCGTGACGGCGATTTGTTGTAATTTCTCATTGTGTTGAACGCCGGCATATCGTTGGGCGGTTCGGGAGGCGGCGCCAATATCAACGACGGCTCGTCGTCAGCAATCGCCGGAAATGGTGGAGGCGGTTGAATTGCTCCTGCTCCTCCTCCTCCTCCTGCTGCTGCACCAATCGCCGATGATGACGTCGATGGTGGTCGACAACCAGCCGCCGGTGTATTCGATACCGTCGAATTGGGTGTCGCGCCGATCGGTGTGTGTCCGGAAGCGCTCGAGCCCGATTCGTGTGGTGCTGTCGCCTGATGTTTCCGATCGACGAAGTAATCGTGAAGACGATCGGAACAATAATCAGTCACCACGCGCTGCTCTCCCTCGTTGGTTTTGAAGTAGCTGCAAAAAAAACAAATGAAAATTCAATAGGCTCAAGTCGAATCACATTTATATAAATAAATAATCAACATCAAACAACGAGGCTCATCATCGAAAGAGCCAAAACCTCCCATCCATCTAATGCATCCCATAAAAGCACCGTACTTTGATTAATGCATTTTCTCAAGTGCGAACCGCGCGTCATTCTATTAAATTAGAAAAAAAACGAATTGAATTTTTAGAAATAAAATTGAGGCCAAAATTTGTACATCAACGTTCAAGATGGATGCGGATAGGAAATGAAAACGCGGGTTTGTTTGAGTCAGAAGAGCGCCTCTAAAATAAATAAGCCGACGACGACGACGACGAAGAAGAATGACAAAAAAAGCATCCAAAACGAACAATGGTGTTGGCGAAGAAAAATTGGTGGAATTAAAGGACGACGCGAGCACCACACACAAAACCAAAACCAGCACAATTGAATGAATGAATGAATGAAGCGAAGCCACCACCCACCATACCCCGATGACTGCGACCTTGGCGTTCAACGGACAGGTGCGGATCATAGCTCATCGATGGCGCATTTAGATAAAGAACGAGAAAAACGTGCTAATTAGACGCCTTCATGCGAAATAATCGCGGTGAAACACCAAATTTTGGCAATTACTCCTCAAAATTTGGCCAATTCGCCCTCTTCCCAACATTTTTCGACTCACACAAATTTCAATTATGAATTCGGCTCTAATGAGAGGCGAGCGCATCGAGCCGCGCGCTCAATTATTAATCATCAACAGATATGCTCAATGCACACGCGACACGCCTCATTGTCGTCTTCGCCTTCTTTATCTACCTGCCGCGTGATGCTCAATTAAAATTTGCTCGCCCGGCGCACTCGCTCATATAATCATCAGAGGCGGCTCTCGTTTCATAATAAAAATGCCCTTTCGGGCAAAACGCCAAACAAAATTTCTAGTATCGCCGACTCGGGTGGCCATAGTAACATCAGAGCGAAGACGAAAGAAAAAAGAATAGATATAAATCAAAACACTCACCATTTCGGTCGACGATGCCGTCGCCGCTTCTTATTGTGCACAAGGCAATAAAGGTGTGAGCAATCGGATCGACGGACCATATCAAAAATGGACAAGTCGAAAAACAAACAACAACCTATTATAAGCGAAACAATGAGGCGATGTGCTCATCGTCTTCGGCGACGACAACGACGTCGACGGGCGATGGAGGCAGCCCGATTCGAGACGTCGACTCCGCCCACCAAGCCCCCCACGTTCGAGATTCCCCGCTCGCTGCGTCTCGCTGACAGTGGCGGTATTTGCGACGCCGAAGAGTGATGAGGCAGCAGCAGCTGGCGCCGAGTGATTATGGCGACGTGTTCGCGCCATACGCAGGCGCCCGACACCTCGTATTGCACTTTCCACACCACGAGCCCAACGATTTTGAGGGGGGGGGGTGCGCGGAGAGAGGGTGGCGCGATCGACGACCACACACAACGCTAATGGTGGAGGGCGATCAACCAAAACGTAACGACACCAAACAAAAAAATCTATGCGTGTGCGGCGGGCGAAAAAAATATACAAAAACGCATCGCACTTTTCCATTTCCGGGAATCAACACTTATATATATATATATATATATATATATGCATATATGGAAATTATTTGCCTTCGACAAAACACGCAGCAAAGTGGGAATCGATAATTTTCAATCTCGCGCAAGGCTGACTGAGCGCTGAGCCCAATACCATTCAAAAATAATGGCTACTACAGAAAACCACCAATCTTCTCCATTTCTTTTTGTCTACGATGCATCGGAGGGGGGGGCACCCGGTCATTTAATTCATGTGTTCGCCAACGAAACAACCCCCTTTTCACAATTTTCTTCCTAAATGGGGAAGGAAGGGGAATGGGAGGAGGGGGGAGAGGAAGAGGAAATTTAAAGATTTCCGGGGATTAGAAACATTTTCATCCGGCCATAATCCAGATGCGCTAAATTACTAACAAAAGAAAACCTGCACTCTAGGAGACATCGAGCTTCGGATGCTAATGAAAATGAGCAAGAGAAAGAGAGAGAGAGAGAGAGAGAGAGAGAGAGAGAGAGATGGAGAAAGAGAGAAAAACATCCTTTCAACCATGAAAATGGCTAGATTCGAAACAAATGATTCATTATTTGTTGTCAACCTATTCTTTTCAAAAAAAAAAAGAAAATTCACCAAAAAAATCGATAACTGCGTCTTTTTTGAATAGAATATTGAGCTTGAAGAACAGAAAAAACGTCAAGACTACTATTCAAAAATCGCACGAGAGCTTTAGGGAAGCAAATGAACGAACGAACGAACGATGGCGAAAAAAAATCGGTGGACGATGCCGTGTCTTTTCGCGCAGATGACCAAAGCAAACCCGAAAGCAGGCTATTTCTCCCCCCGCTTCTTTCACCTCAGTCAAAAACGGGGTAAAAGCGAGCCAAGCCGACTTCTGCCTCTTTCTTCGATTTCTCAACCGACACCGGCTGACGTCGTTTCAGTTTTCGATATACACATAAACGATACATATTTCTAAATATCTACATATTTAGATATAACGAGGGAAAAGGGGGAGGGGGGGTTGAGTTAGTTAAAGGCGGGGAGGGGAAGGGAGAGACGGGAGGAAGCGAGTTGTGCTGGTAACGCGTTTGAGAGGGCGAAGACGCACGAGCGAACAAGGGCAGAGTGATGCGGGCGCAGTTGAAGCGGCCATGGGTGGGTGCTGCGCGGGCGCCAACAAAACGACGCCCCAATAGAATGGGTGTTCTGTATGGTGACGATGGCGGAGGGTGCAGACGGCAAACGCGACGTCTATTTTTTTTTCTTCATCGCGCCAAATTCACATCGGCATGGCATTGGCCAGTGAGAAACGAGGGCGCAAGAACAAAACCTCCTCTCTTCTCCCGTTTCGCCTCCCCCCTTGTATTTTTACTTCCATTTTCCATATGCCTTTTCTTTTTTTATTTTGGTGTTGTTGTTTTACTTTCAAAAAACCCTAGTATCAATGATCAAAGAAACAATCTCTATCAGCTTCAGAAAAAAGAACCCTCCAATTTGGTTCGGTGCTTTTTTTTGCGCAGCTGGCCACAAAGTGGGCGCGCGCACGCTCGCGCGGCTGCTTGATGAGCGTCGTTGTGCATCATATTTCGCTAGTTGGCATGGAAACTACGCAACGTATTATTCGACACACTTTAAATGTTAGTTCTCGCCCAAAAATGGATATTATTTCGTAATGCGGCCTTTTTTCTTATTGTTCTCTCCCTCATTTTCCATATTCTATTAGGCAGAAATAACAATAATAATAACGCAAAATAACTCACAACGGCTTCGGATTTCCGACGCGTATCCGATTGTAAGCTTGTGTCGCGGCTTCTTGTGTGTTGAATATCACAATAGCCTGCAAGAAATTGGAAATTAGTGAATTTTGATGAAAAATCAAAATAACCGACGCGTGTTTTCTCGGCGATTAAAATGCAATTGGTGTAAACACACCGCGCAAATTTACAGACTTAAATTGAATTTTGACGTTCCTAATATTTTTTTAAACTTTCTCGCCATTTTCCATTAATTCTCATAAAGTTAAAACGTATGACACTTTTCAAATAAGCCAATTTAAGAGAATATCTTCCGTATTAAAATTTCAAGTGTGCATATCGAAAAGTAATGAATTTTTGACAATTTATACGTCATGATATCAAATGTTTAAAATTATTATTTTTTCCTTTATTCTGTGCTCTCTCACCTGTCTTTCTCTCATATCCAAAACAAAATCAACCACTGAATCGGAAAGCGCTTTCAATTTTTGAGTAATGTAGTCGGCAGAGGCTTTCTCCGGCAAATGGCCAATCCACAATTTGTGTGACGTCATCGATCGTCCAAAATTAGGCTGGAATTTCTGCAATTACCATACACCCATTCCCTCCCAATCAAACTCACCTTGCCCTTCTTGTTCGTCATTGCACTATTGGCGTTAATCGCGCGAACCGCCGAATCAATATCGGCGAATTGCAAGAACGCGAACGGCGATGGCGATTCGAAATTTTTCACGTCGATATCGAGAATCTCGCCAAATTTCGCGAAGCGTCGACGAAGCGACTCGTCGCTGACGCGCGTCTCAAGACCACCGACATAAAGGGTCCGCGACGATTTCGGATGAAACGCGTCCACCTCATCGGCCCTTCGAGCGTTTGATGCGTTGCTTGGCGTGTTGGCTGTTTTCGTTTCCTGACTAGACGTCGACGTTGAAGACCCGCTGAAATTCGCCAATTGATGTGCGTTTCAACTACTTCCGTAATTTTTTTTTCTCGTGCAAAAGAAAAAATACGACAACACCTGTTATCATTCTATCTCTTAATGCGAGAAAAAAAATGGAAAAACCCAAGAGCGATCACCAACCTTATATTCGAAATAACCCGTAATCGTACCCGTTGATTTAATATTACCGGATTCTGTTCCAAAATGACCTTGTCCGCGTCAACTCTACAATAATTTTATTTATTATGTCGGATATAAAACAAATTCATTTGTGTCATACCTTTGAAACCAAACTATCGCTTTTTTGGAATCACCGTCGTTCTCGACGATGATATCCGATATATTTCGCCCATAGCGCTTGAGCTGCTCGCGCAATTGCTCCTTGATGGTGGCGTCCGAGCGATTCGGTAGCCGCTCGACGATGATCGCCTGATGGGAGGCCGAAGCGCCCGCGTTTCCGACGCCTCCCACGCTTGTCGTCGACACCAACGATGACGTTGTCGGTTGTGTTGGAATTGTCGGCGCCGTGCTCGTTGTTGGCGTCTCCAGCGACGAACTGCAAAAAGAAAATGCAAAATCAATCGATAATCGCGAGAGTCAATCAAAACAAATTAAAATAATGTGATCGTTGTGAGAAAAAAAATAGAAATCGAATGCGTTTGGTTTTGGAAGCCTCTCTAGTACGTCCATCTACAGTCCCCAAAAAAACCACAATTGAAGAGATGAAGAGAGTATGTATGACTTCTGCGAGGTCGCGCACCCCTCCATTTGCTGGTTTTCCGTCACTATGGGAGGGCTCCCGTGTGTCAGCTTTGCGAGACAACGGGAGACCCCCACCCCGTATGCCCAGAGAGTGAGAGACATACACATAGACACCTGTGATGTGTACAGGGTGTCATTTAAGTTCCCGCACAACTTTGAAGACGTATATTTCTGAAACTAAAAGTCCAAATCAAACGAGACTCGAAATATTTTTTATCTATAGTACAACAAATAATTATCTATTAACTCTTTTCGATTCGGCCTCTTTTCGCAGCTATGACTTCGCGGAGACGCTTCGGGTAGGATGTGACTGTGGTACGCAGGTATTCGATGGAAAGATTGTCCCATTCCGCCAGTAATGTCTTCTTCAGAGCCTCTACACTTGAGTGGGGTTTTGCGTTGACCTTCTCCTGCAAGACCCCATCACGGAGAAGTCAAGCGGGTTCAGGTCTGGGGAGCAAGCAGGCTATTCGGATGACTTGATGAAGTCGGGAAAATGGGTCTGGCACCACTCCTGAGTAGTTTTGGCAGTAGGGGCGGGTGCTCCGTCCTGTTGAAAGACCCATATCTTCCCACCGAAATGCGTTTGGGCCCAGGGCATCATATGCTTCCCCAAAATGCCCCGAACGTAGACTTCTTTGTTCACTTTCACCACCTGATCCACGAAAACCAGGGGCACTTCCCGGTTGAGCAGATGGCACCGAAAACAATCACACTGGCAGGATGTGAGGCTGGATAAATTGTTATTCCTTTCTCTGAAGCTTGCTGGGATGTCTGGGCAAGTACTCAATGGTTTTGTGAGTTGAATGCCGCCTCCACAGTGAACAGCTTCTCGTCGGAGAAGACAGTGGCGAGGTGTTCTCCAGACCGCGTGCGAGCAAAAAGTTGTTTTGCTTTTTCGAAGCGTCTCTGCTTGTTGACGGCCGATAGAATTGCCACTTTTTGGACACGATATGGGGTCAGTACAAGCTTTGTTTTGACGATTTGTTCCATAGCGAAGATGCTCATTCCCATGTCTGACGCCATCTTTCTTATGCTCCTGTGCGGTTTTCGCCTGATCCTCGTTTTGACGGCGTTGATCTTCTGAGGATTGGTTACTGAGACGAGTCTTCCTTGTCTGGGAAGGTCACTGGTCGTATTTAGCTCCTTGAAACGTTTGTTGGTGTCTTAAACCGTTCTACGAGGCACACCGAGGCGTTGAATGATCTCTGTCGGGCGCTCATTTCGCTTATGAAGTTCGATAATGGAAGCGCGATGAATGTTAGCCTTCGCCATTTCTCGGAAACACATCCGAATGAAGTGAAACTTGAAAAGTAAGTAAAATACACCTTATTTAACAAAAATAAATTGTATTGGTGCACGAAAAGTGCGACAGCCAAGCTTTTCATGGCGTCTAACTTTTGTGCGGGAACTTAAATGACACCCTGTATTTTGGCCGGCGGCCTTCGAACTTCCCCCCACCATCAACGACCAATTTTCTCCATTATTGACAAAAAATAGATATACGTCGAGATCAACTCACATTTGTTGTTGTTGTTGCTCTTTCAGCGGCCGATTGACCTTCTTCGAAATTGGTCTGAAACGACGCCAAACATTATGATGTGTTGTCAAAGTGACTGACTGGTACCTATTCGCCGTCGGAATCGCCGACGACGACGGTCGTTCGATTCGTGAATCTTTTGTTTTCGGTGGCGTCGTTTTTAGTGGGTCAGCTGAGGCGGCCGAAATTGATGTCGCTGGCGTTGGTAGCGACATTAGCGACGGAATAACACCTCTTAAAACGAAAATGTGTGTTTAGAATTTTTTTGTTTGAATTTCTAGTGGTCCTTACGTTTTAACATCCGGCTCATAGAATGCAATGCGAAATGGTGTGCTCGGATCGATGCGATTATCGCCGCTTTGCGCTTTTTGTGCTGATCGAACATCCATAAAACTGACAACAATACTTCCATCAGCGATTCGCTCAATCTTTTGTACACGTCCATAACTATGCGATAATCAATTAATAAATTGGTTAATTGGTTAAATATGGGTCCTACTTTGTGAAAAATGTGTTAATAGTGTCCTGACTTAGCGTGGTCGGCAGGCCATAAACAGCAACATGCCGCGATTCTCGATTTGCATTTGATGTTGTCAAAACCATTTCGTCATCATTTGCATTTATCACTGCAAAAAATATTAGGCTCAATGAGCAATCGTGGCACGAAACGATTAAAACGTGTACGAAACATAAAAGAAGAAGAAGAAGAATGTTGCAAAAATCAATGGAATAAATAAATATATAAAATTGTGGCAATCGTCTTTTTTTTACCCTCTAGACTCGGATTATGGCGAGCTGAGTGGCAGCGCTCCATTCATATACAAATCCGGGCGGCGGATTGCCTAATTCGATAATCCACCACGAATAAAACTCCAGTGCTAAAGGAGTGAGATCGATTAATATGAGCAGGTGAAATTGTAAAAATTTCTCGGGATCGATGAATGATACAAACGAACGAGGATTGAAGAAGTTGGAGAAGAAGAAGAAGAAGAAAAGTGAACAACTGGGAGGTGATAAAATCGAAAGAAAAACAAAATGTGACGCTAGATGGCGCGAACAATTGGTGTATTGTGGGTGCAATCAAACTCAATATTATTCTAACCATGATTTTTATTTGGTGGTGAGTGAGGGAGAGGGGGGGGGGTCTCATACGCCAAAAATAAACCGCGCTCACCAAAAACTCACGCATCGCTCACACACTCACCCGAAGCAAACACGTTTGTCGCTTCTTCATCGTCTTGTTGGTCCATTCCGTCTAACCCATCGCAATTTCTCTGCGCGCTCTCAATTGGCTTTGTGTGTGTTCGGGCGGGGAGGGTCGCGCAATGCGGACGCGTCGCGTTTTACACATCGGCACACACACACACACACCCGCCCAACGCTTTTTGGCTGGTCTTGTGTGTCGCATACGCATATACACACACACACGCATACATACATACACAAACGCCGGGCAAGACCCTTCTACCCATACCAAACATATATAACATTATATATATATTTTCTATATATATATAAATATTCAAGACAGGAGATAGCCCTTCGCCACCTATTTTTTGTTGTATTGTCGAAAAATAGAGAACAACTCATTCGCTTCACTTTTTTTCTCATTGTTCTCATTCTTAATATCACTGGGCGGGCCTCGCTGAGCTCATTGTTAATGTAGATGGGCTCCGGATGGCGAGGCTCAGCCGACGCGCTGGAATTTCGAGGCTTTTTAGCCAACACCTGCGGCCTTTTGGGCCCACTCGCCATCGATGAAAGCGGATTTTTTGCAACATGACAAACATGACGAGCGAAAAACAACAACAAAAAAACATCTGCCCCTTTCCCCTCTTCGTGCATCAGTATCGTCGCTAACAGATGGCAGTATACCTATCACTGTGTGTGTGTGATTCGTTCGTTCGCCGCCGCCGCCGTCGTTTAAACTGCGGATGAGTGTTGCTGGGGACCCCTCCGCACACACGAATTCGATGGGGTGGAAGAATAATGGCGAAAAAAAAAACGCGGAAAAGTGGCGACCGACCTTCCTTTGCGTTTGTGTGTGTGTGTGGGAAATGGGATAGCTCGACGGGGGGGGGACGCCTGTCGCGCGATCAATTTTCTGTCCTTGCTGTCTCTCTTCTTCAACATCGTTGAAACAAAGACACGATTAATGTTCGACGTGAAGTTTTAACGAGTTTTGGTCGTCCAATATTGAGATAATGTTTTGCAGGCCCGGCGGCCTTCAATTCAAAATCGAGTGTTGCTACTTAATGGGCCAAATAGGGGGTAAATCAATGAAAATTTAAAAAAAAGAATAGAGATGGAAACTAATCGATACTATTCGAACTAGGTAATTACATATGTCGATTGTAGATCAAATATTCTTATGACCTTTAAATATTCCCTCAAAATTTATGTCTGTCTTTTATATTTCCCCTGGCAATAAAAATCCCCTCCATTAATGGTTCTTCCAAAACCCATAAAATCGAATTTTATGGTCATTGAATGTACAGTGTTTCCAATTTCGCTTTAAGAGCATAGAGATATATATAGCAAGACTCTTTTAAAGTTTTTTTTTAGCTCGCTCATTTATATTTGTAGACAAACTGTTATTTTCTTTTAATATAAAAAATTAAATTTTCTAGTTTTTTTAAATGGATCTTTCAGCTAGTCATTTTGATAGATAGTCGTTTTTTTTCTTCAGAGGCGGTATCGATTTTTCCACATTTTTTTAGGTTAAAGGAACATTGCGAAATGTCTTATTGATTGTTGTATCATCACCACCCTTTCGTAGATATTTTTTGTTGTCTTACGAAGTGTCTTGTGATTTTATTTATTAGTCATTATCAATCATCGATGTCAACCCGCGAATGTTTATCACGCTTCTTTCTCCAAATGTGTAATCAATATTGAATGATTTCAGGTGGGACAATTCTACTCAAACGCGTATTGATTGCCTTCTGGCTCTACGTTGATTCTCAATGCACATTTCGAAATTTTAGTTGAACCGATAAGTGTTGCACTTGAAACAAACGCTGAGGCACCACTATCGTTTAATTACGATTTCGAGATGTTTGCACAATTTTTTGATATCGACTTGGTTGCCGGAAGATGGGTCTCAACACATTCTCGCGTTTTTTTTTTCTGATAGAATTTGTGAGTGATGGAAATTTTTTGAACTGTCTCAAATTATTGATTAACTTCTCATGTATTGAAATTTCGCCTTTAATAGGGGCCTCGAGCTTTTTCCTGCTTCTCAATTTAAATATTTCGACAGTTTCTGTTTGAAGGGTCATCGTCTTGAATCTTATATGGAAATAATGAAGTTTAAATATGCAAAAGAAAAACAAATTTTTAGTTGTTATTGATGTTGGTCAACAAATTTCTAATTATTTCCTCAATATATTTGATATTTGGATATTAAAAATTGTTCTTTGAAGCTCTGTCTGATCTGAAAAATTGTTATCTCGCGAAGTTCTAGGAAATCAGCCATTTTTTTTTTTGAATAGGAAATGAATCAATTTCCTTTCAGCTTACGCAACTAATAAAACTCGAAATAAATTTACATGAAAGCCGACAACGTGAACAAAAGGCAGTGAAATTGTGCAACGAGCACCTCATTTCTATATAATTCTATCGTAATTAAATTCGGTGTTAATTAATTCCAAAAAAATGTACAAAAGAGTTGCGATCGACTCAACCATGTCGCTTCAAAATATTCGGTCAAGATCAACGCAGACGTTAAGCCCCGAGCCGGAATCGGTTGGTGAGCGTACGAGGTTCCAGTTGAGTCCGCTAACCGAATCAACGATTAATGAAGAGTAAGATGATTTTATTTGAATTGAATTTCTTTTATAAATATTCATCAGGCTTTCACGAATCGATTTATATAATAGAACAAATGTTGTTAAAATTAATCGTGATATTCTGAATCAAGTGAGTTGACAAACGAATTTGTCTCAAAATGGCTAACATTGAAGAAAAATTTTGACGATACTTATGGATTTCGTCGGATTAATATCTCATTGTTTCAAAGGGTTGCTTTCTTTTATCGGCAGGTTCAGCATTTTTTCAATCTGAAAATTTTCCCCAACGAAAAATCGATATTAGGCGGCAAAATGGAAGAAGAGCGAATGGATTCAGTTCATCATGTCGATGATTCCGATCACTCAATGGTTGTCGAGTTATAACTGGAAATCGGATTTGATAATCGATGTTCTGGGCGGTACGATGATTTCAGTGATGAGTGTGCCGCAAAGTATGAATCGTTTGAGAAGAAAAATTGAAAATTTCTGGAAATTTCGATAGCTATTTCTCTTGAGTTTAGAAAAATTCAAAAAATAACATATTTCGAAGTTCTTTGCCATGTTTACATGCGCCTTTAAAGAAATACGGTAACCGGTGTTTCAAAATGTCGCTTTTAACAAATTTCCAGTAAATATATGCTTTTTTTAAAAATAAACTCGCATAATAAAAAGAAGAACTTAATGAGATTGTTTTCGTATTTTTTTCCCTGCATATTTAGTCGAGTTAAAATTTTAATTGCACCAAACATCTGCGCACCAGCTGCCAGAATTGCTCACGTTTAGAAAAAGTTCTTTATTGAAAGAAAAGAAGTCAGACGAGGTCAATAATGGAAAAAAAACTAAATAGTAAAAATTCCAAAAAAAAAATTGATGCCCATGTGTTGCAGGTCTTGCCTATGGTATGCTTGTTGGGGTCCCGCCTAGCTATGGCCTAATTACCGGAATTATTGGTCCGTTGGTTTATGCAACTTTCGGCACCTCAAGGCACTCGTCTCCTGGCGCGTTTGCTATTGTTTCATTGATGGTCGGAGGAGCTGTCGAATCATTTGCACAAGGTACAAATAGATTTAATAGAGTCAAATTTCAATTTTGCTTTTTTTTTAAACTTCTAGGAGCTGAAATTTCAACGGAACTTGACGACTTTGAAGGGTTCTACGCCACTGATGACCAAACATGCTGTCGAGGTCAAAGCGCACCTGTCTCGCAAACTGACGCCATCGCAATATCGACGTCCATCACGCTACTCGTTGGAATATTCCAGATTCTATTTGGCATCATGAATGCCGGACTATTATCCGTTTGGCTATCGGACCATCTCGTCCAAGGCCTGACATCAGGCGCGGCGATTCACGTGCTAACATCGCAAATCAAATCGATCACAAATATCAGAACACTTCCGACGACATCCGAGCCATTTCAACTCGTCCAATTTTATTTGTGCTTTTTCCATCAAATGCACACCGCCCAGTATCAGTCGGTGTTGTGCTCGATGATTTGCTTCGGCCTTCTCGCGCTGTCTGCATATGTCATCGATCCGCAGTTGAGGAGGCGAAAAGTGCCCGTCAAGTTTCCCATGGAGCTTATTATTGTGATTGGCAGCACTTTGGTGGTGGCACTTGGGAAAGTGAACATACCAACGGTTGGGCACGTTGAGGGCGGAATTCCGGCGCCGAAATTTCCGCCAATGACGAGCGCCGGCTCATTGGCAAGTGAGGAATTTTGGTTTTTGTTTTCCAAAAACCAAATTAAACACTTTTTATCGGAAATTTTGGTTTTATTCATTCAAAAATTAAAAAAACGTATATTGTGTGCAATTCACCGACACGCACATTTGCACATTTGCTATTTCTTCAGCCTCCGCCATGTCAATTGCCGTGATATCTTTCGTTATCCACATTGCGTTATGTAAACTTGTTTCGAAACGCTTAAACTATGTTATTAACCCGAATCAGGCAAACAATATAAATTAGGTGAAATTAGGAATTTCATTTTCTCTTTGCAGGAATGGCTTGCTCTCGGCTTAATGCACACAACATCGTCGTTCTTCGGGTGTTTCGCCGGTGGATCGTCCCTCGGCCGGACCATGATGCAAGTGAACTGCGGCACTAAAACCCAACTCTCGACGATTGTGTGCTCGATTGTGTTGACCATTTTTGTACTCGGCGCCGCCAAATATATTTTCTATCTTCCGAAAGCGGTTCTAGCCGTGATCGTTGTGTTCGCGATGAAGGATTTGTTTTTTCAAACCGCCGCCGCTTTTGATATTCGAAGGAAGAGCTTTTTCGATTTTGTAAGTAATGTTGCTATTGAAAATTAATAATGAAAAATAATATTTTAGTTGATTTTCATAGTGACATTCACCTCAGTGCTTATTCTCAACGTGAATTTTGGCCTTGTCGTTGGAGTGGCTTTTGCATTACTAACAGTGGTGTTTCGATCGCAATGGTAATCTGAAGGCTTTAGAAAAAATAACGTCTGTGTACTTCATACGAACAACACATTCGGAACATTGTCCGTGTGGAATACACAAATTGTCTCAGTCTCGTCCGACTTTGACAATAAAAATAAATTTTAACATTATTATTTTTTTAAGGGCTGACAGTACCTTATTAGGACGAATCAAGGGTACAAATCATTTTCGAGGATTGAGTCATTATGGCGCAGCTGTTGAAATTCCCGGAATCAAGGTGTTCCGCTTCGATGCTCCATTATACTTTGCCAACTCTGAGCTGTTCCTCTCGCGCATTCACAGCACTTGCGGTATCAATCCGATCATCGGTACGACGATTATCAATCGCCATCATCGCCAACAATTCGATTTATTGCAGTGAAGGGCAAAATTGCCGAAGAGGAGAAGAAGAATCGCGAAGCGGAGAAGAAGCGGCGACAAAACGATTTGGAAGCGCCGCTGGTGACAAAAGACGAAACGCGTTGGAGAGAATTGATGATTTCTAAAGATTTAGCGTTTCTTTTTTTTTGCAGAGCTTGAAATCAAAGGTGAACGAGTGAAAAAGTTGGGGTCCGACAGATCGGCAAGTCGAAAGGAAGAGTTTGAAATCACACAGCTCACTCATATTATTCTAGGTATATTAGACGCATGGATTGCTTCTTTTTTTTTAATAATTTGAACCATTCCTAGATTGCTCGTCAATTCCTTATATTGATTTGATGGGAAAAGATTCGTTGATGCAAGTCTTCACCGATTACAAGTCAATAGATATTGAGGTCCTCTTCGCCAACACCAAAGGTAGATTTTTATTGGCTTCCCACCCTTCAAAAAAAAGCAAATGTCGATTTTTTAGAAACGGTTCGCCAAATTCTCGACTCAACCGATTTCTTTGAGAAGGTCCCACCTAATCGAATGTTCGTGAGTCTCACTGACGCTGTCAATCAGGCGAAGCTCGAGCAGCAAGGCAAATATAATGGCGACGATCAATCGGTAGGAACTCGTTTTAGCCGATGATGTCTTGTATGAGAATCGCCGAAATTTTTCAGGGACGCACGATTCTGAAACCGGCGGCCATTGCTCAACCGATCGCGAAATCGGTGGCGCAGAAAACCGCGCCGTTGAACAATGATACCGTGCTGCCAAGGACGCAGAGCACCTCGCTGCTCACCGGTATTGATAATTCGCTTCAGGAGCATTTGGATGTAAGACTTTGTTTCGGAATAGATTACTATATGCGCCTTTATAAATTGGCGCATCAGCGATTTCAATCAATTCCAGAAATCCACTACTTTTCCCCGCTAATTATGCATATTACAGCGGCGGAATCGAACGGCTGGTTCCAAAGGTAAACCGACGGAAATGGAAGGTCTCGACAAGACGCAATGATTCGTTGTTTCGCTCTTCTTCTTCGTCGTCTCGTTTTTGCGGTAATTCTCAAGTTGTTTCGTCTCGTCAATGTAATAAAGAAAAAATCGTGCGCGAATTGATGATAAATCAGAGTTTCGTTGTCAACGAGAGATGCGCGCGTGGAATCGAATCGGCCGAAAACGCGATCGCGAATCGTCTCTCTATTTTCGGCGTCGCGCCATTCTATTTTTGGCCGCTCACTTCCGGAGTGTTTCGTCGTTGAAACACTTTTCGATTTACCGTAATTTATGTATTTCAAAATAATCCCGCCTCTCATTTTTTTTCCAACTAAACATCAAATATGTCATCGATCACCATTTCTCACATTGACCGCTCAAAAAAAATGAAGGGCAATGGAGGATTGGAGAAATGCGCTTCGTTTCTTCAATAAAATGAATGAGAGTTATCGAATTGGTTGGCATGTTGTTCGCATATTCGTTTATTTCTAGAATCTGGTTTCTCGGATTCATTGAGATACCGTAACCCCTGTGGCTTCTATTTTGGGAGTCGTGCGGTTTTCAATAATCTAGGGTCTTGTCACAAAATTAATTATTTTGCAATTTTTCGATCTGAAATCACTTCCTTGTGAATTGGGTCTCGAAGCGATTGAAGCGGGGATTTTTAATAGAACCATTAACGACTCATCCCTTTTTTAGTTTGTTTCTTGACATTTCGAGTTCATTAAGATCTTGCAAGTTGTTCTCACCGAAAACGCGTGTCAAGTCACAAAACTTTCGCACGACGGCATAAAAATAGAAAACGCACTACATTCTTTTTTTCGTTCGGCCAATCTATTTTTTGTTATTGTCATTATCATTTCGATGATTCTCAAAACTACAACATCAGCCATCACTGGCTACAGTAATCATCAGACAAAGAGACATGTTTCGCAGATCAATCTTTCAACGTTCAAATACCAAATCAACATGATTTGATGATATCATTTTCAACCAATCAGGAAAAACCGAATGCGATATTCAGCGAATAGCCGAATTCAAAATTTCCGCTTTTTTGTTTTCTCAGAAACTACACATTGATCAATTTTCGTCGCAAAAAAAAGACAAAGAAACATAATGTGTAAAGCTTTACAAAAATCGGAACGAAAGTGGAACGCTAGTAAATGAATCAAATTGTCTACGTCATGAGTGCAGAATGGTTATCATTGAGCTGGCAATCCGAAAAAAACTCCATCAATTTGATATCCGCACTGTACTCGTGACGTCATCAGCGGCTGCTTTTCAAAAAACGACGGTTGTCGAACGCCCGCCCACTTCGGCGCGCCCTCACAAAAAGCACCCATTTTGATGAGCACCCATTTTACCCCCTGTCAATGTTGATTTCTTATCAACATTGCAAAAAAATAAGCCGCGGGCGGGGAGAAAAAGAGGAGGCCATATTTTAAGCCTCACATTTTCACTTTTTGTTTCATGTGTTTGCCGAACCAGTTGGCCATCGTCGTCGTTCTACCAAGTTTTCCGCCACCGTAATAATTCGAGAATGTTTCAGACCAGACTGTCAGCGATACGCGAATGCAACAGCTTCTCATTCATCTGCTTCTTCTTCTTCTGACGACGACACGCGGCGAGGTGCTCGTCGATGTTTCGCCAAACTCGATCGCCCATTTGTTCAAGGTGTGCGTTTGTCTTTTTGTCGTCGTTTACGTCATCGTCGTTTACGTCATTCGATTTAAATCGAATGCAAATGTTTACTCATACACAATTTCGAAGATCGCTTACAAGAAATAATCCCCTACCGCCCCCCCCACCCTTCAACCTCTTTTTTGTTGGATTGCTACAAAAATTTCCCATTGAGGGCAAGTATTGTCGTGGGCGGACGAATTTGAAAATTTTGAATTTCGCGCTAAAATGAGCACATAATTTGACACTTTGAAAATAACCAAAATACTTAAAAAATTATTTTAAAAAATGTTCAAGAGCTTTTTGTTTCTTTTCGAGACCATTGATTGGCGAATTCTATTCCTTCAGAGAGAACTATCGGCAATCCATGATCGACTCATCCGCATTTCGCCACCACCGTTTCACTCGACCTATTTGGGTCTGGAGCTCAAAGTCGACCACATTCAGCTCGTTGACTTGCACATGCCGCGCATTAGCTATGAGCTCATCGCTCCTGACGTGATCAACTTGAAGCTTCTCGGCGGCTCCGCGCGGCTTCTCGGCCAATATTCGGCGCAGTACAAGACGAAAAGGGAGGGCCAATTCGAGTTCATCATGACCGATTTCCACTTTTCGATGCCTGTCCGTAGATCAACACCCAATTATCAATTGGTAATTTCCGTGATTAGATAAGAATACCGGATTATTGAGCGTTGATTGTTTATAGACTCCTGATGCCGCGTGCTCGTTGGAGCTCGACGAATCGCGTGTGGTAATGACGCCGGCGTTTCCCGAACAGATCACGAAGAACATTCGGACGAGCATGCTTCACACAATCAACGATCAAGTCTGCAAGGAGGCCGAAAAATTTGTCGAGCGATTCAGTAAGCGGCTTGCCAATTCGGTAAAGCTGCTCGATATCAGCGAAGGCGATCATCCATCAACGGTTGATGTCGTTGTGAATCTTCACAATCCGCCAGCTGACGAGGTAAATCGCTTCAAGAGGTTTCCATCAATTCCTATCGATATTCTAGCAAGCCATTCGAATCTCGGTGACCGAGAGCCTCATCAACAGCGAGCTCGCGAAATTGTCGACAGGCGCTGAAACGAGATTCCTTTGGAACAGCGTTCCAGAACTTGCCGAACATCTGAGAAACAGCGAGTTCGGCGATGGTGAGTCATGGAGGCGATAAAATCAACCACGAGTCAATAAATCTTAAAGGCCACATTGAGTCATCGCTTCGCGATCGGCCGACAATTCGACTCGCCGACGAGATTCTCGTCGTTCTGCCGATCACGACGACGTTCTCACGTGTCGCCCACGCGCTCTTCAACGTCGACACCGACGTCGTCTTAATAATGCGCAATCCGATGGTGAGCGCGCCGAACGCCGATGGCCGCATCGAGTGGTCCAGCGATTTCGAGTTGCGATCGGTGGAAATCGTCAAAATTTCGGCGTCGCGAAAATTTGGCGCGTTTTTCGCGACGCCACTCGACGCCAAAATCGAAGCGAACAAGCCGTTCATTGAGGTTTTTTTTAATTAGAGATATTTTTCAAATTTCAAATGTTACAGAACATTCTCTCAAAATACCTCCGCGGAGCTCTTCCGATCCAATTGAACGGCCTCACTTGGAATCACTCGCATAGGCTCAAGCACATCAATCCCGACTCATTGACATTCTCGATTATGCCGCACTTCGCACCGCCCGTCTAGTCAGACCCTCAACCCCTCAAATATAACTTATTAGTAAAATTGCTTTTCTCATCATAACATTCACTGATCTCAAACACGCACCAGATCTCGCAAACGACGAATAATAAAAATAATAATAATAAAATATTTATATTGTTTGATTTTCTAGACGAAACTCGTAACCAAATTAATTATTATTTACAACTATATTTAAATACCTAAAAGAAATAATAATACGGAGAGATTGCGAAATCACCCGGTGAATCCAGCGGTCGAATCTTTCGATTTTATCGTTTCCATAATTTCTTTCGCCTTGTCGGCATATAGTTTCGCCTTGTCGAGGTCTTTCGGAATACCATCTCCCAATTTGAACATTCTGAAATGGAGGTCTTGAATGTCGTCCGCCGATTGTCATCACTACCTTGAGGCATTCGCGCAACTCTGCGGAACGTCGAGTTCACACGCGCGAATCGCAAACTCCAGCGATTTGCTCATATCGCGCTTGAGCTCGCCGAGCGACGTGCGGTCGAGTTCCTAAAAAAAAGGGGGCTATTCGAACGCAAATAAACACATTTCTTATCAGTTTAGTATAGTAAAAAAAAAGAAGGAAGCATAAAAACAGACATGCCGTCACTTGGTCATTATCTTTTTTTTGTTTGAGGGATTAGAAAAAAATAGGCAAGGATTCCAAACATTCCACTCATTTTTCAAGCAGATTCAAATTTCTAATTATAAATCGAAACAAAAATAAAATAATGCCACGGTGGGGGGAGCAATTGCGCAAAAAAAAAACCTTTGGCTCTCCAGCGGTCGTCGTTTTGAACTTCTCCTTATTTCCCATATACCAGGTACTCAGCAGCCAGCAAGCTTCACCATCTTCAAGTTCGCACGCCCTAAAATTGTTTTTAGATACTTTTCAGACAAATTAAGATTTGAAAATAACAACGACACGTACGTTGAGCAGATGTGGGCCATCTCTGGTAACTCAAAACTAATCACATCCGACAAAAATCGACTCCAGAATCAAGCCGATTCGACTGGAAATTTTGCGGATAAGATTGTAAAATTCCAAAAATTTGCACGAATCTAGAAAAACGCGGCAAAAAATATACTAACACGATTTGTTACGCTGTCTTAATAAGTAGTTTGCAACAAAAAAAAATTCAGATTCGAAATTCCGCAAAATTTTTGCCATTTTTCTCGAAACACCAATTCTTCTGCGGACAATCGCCAGGTATAATTTGTCAAAGAATAATTTGGCCGAAAAATAAATTTAAAAAAAAAAAGCTTTCGTAATGATTTTGGGAGACTTCGTCAAAACTGATGCGAGCAACCTTCTCAAAGGTTCACCAACAAACCTTCTCATATATTTCTCGGCCAATTCCGAATTCGCCGGTCGGTCCTTCTCGCCATTCCAATGGACCAGCGATAAATATCGACATCCTTGACGGATATCGGCGTCGCATGCAATCTTCATTGGCTCGATCATCTTCTTCAGACTTGGCTCGCATTCTATGAGCATCTCTCATCTTGACAATTCAAACATCTTCTAAATTACCTTTTCCCGCCAACAAGTACATTCCATACTTGAAGCAGCTCTTCGGGTATTTACGCTCCTCGCAATTCTTCTTGAAGATCGCCAATGCCGCGGCGAAGTTCTGCTGAAGCGCTTCCATATACTCTCCTAGAAGCTGGCAAGATTCTGGCCGCTTCTCTTCATAGCATCCGAATCTATACTCGATTCCTATATTCTTCACATATTCCGCCCGTTCCTCCTGCTCCTTCAAAGTGTCTTCGGACAATTTTGGCATTCTGAACATCGCCGCTGATTTCCCTATCCATCCTTTTAAAAAGTATTGCTCCTGAGTGCATCAACCTCTAAAAATCAACTCAACACACCTAGAAAATGTCCTTTTATTCAATTATGTCAAATCGTATGCATAATACTTAGTTATATAAATAAATAAATAATGGTAAAGGGAGAGAGAGAGAGAAATAAATTTTCAAATAAAAAGGGCATTATCCACGAAAACTCAGATTTTGGTTTGTAAAACGGCAAAACGCGGGTAATGTCTGGCAAACGAAACCGTTGAAGCTGGGGCAAAAGCGTTTTTATAATAGATTACCGCCGCGATGATAGTAATGGGTGACCGGTAGGGATGGGTGAACAATAAACACGAAAGGAAGAGACTATGTATATGATGTATAGTTTTTCAAAAAAAAAAAAACGCACACACACATTTGACATTGAAACTACTGTTGATCGTCCTGAAAAAAAAGATGATTGTTGAATTTAACCAAAACTAACCATGTTATTCAGGATGAAGTCAACGGCGGCATCTTCGTTCTTTTCGCAGGCCAGGTAGGCCTAAATTATATATTATCTACATTTCCATTAATTATTTTTTCACCTCAACAATAACTTGGTCTGGCACTTGGAATCCCATTGACTTGATTCGCTCAATAGCGGCCATTTCAGTAGCGGAGAGCTCAATGACGTGTTGCTCTCTTCGTGGTGCTCCAGCGGCTCCGCCGGCAGCGGCGCCACCTCCGGCCGCAGCACCACCAGTTCCGGTAGCGCCAGTTCCCTGAATCATTTTATATAGTCCAAATTTTGATTCTTTTTTCTTTTTTTTACTTACCACACCGTTGATCATGTTTATAAATTGCTGTTGGTTGTTCTGGATAGCCTGCACGAGCGATGGGTTGACAGTGGCGAGCTGCTGAAGAACCATAGCCAACATTTCCGGGTTCTGTTGCACAAGGCTGCGAATTTCCTCCATCTGTGGCATGTTCTGAAGAGCGCTGAGGTCTCCTGGCACGTCGTCGTCTTCTCCATTGAATGGAAGGTCTTCTCCAGCTGGGTTTTGGACCTCATCGGCCACCGAATCCGGAATGCCGCTGAGCAGAAACTCGACAGCGCGATCGCCGTTCCAATACGCGGCCTTGAGGGCGGCAATAACTTGATCACGTGGATATCCCATTCCAGTAATGGCAGCGATCGAGCTTTCTTGAGATGCGGTGAAGTTTTCAGTAGCAGGAGCTGGAGCCGGAGCTGAAGCTGTTTCGGCAGCTGGTGCAGCAGCCGGAGCAGTAGCGGCTGGGGCAGCAGGAGCTGGAGTGGCAGCAGATTCAGCAGCAGGAGTTGGCGCCGGCGCAACCTTTCTCTAAATGAAAAAGTCAATTTTTAATTTTCAAATTTTTACCAAATTTACCTTAGTGAGCATTACCACAACAAACTTGGAGGTTTCGAATCCAACATCTCCAACTTTAAGGGCATCATCAAGAATCTTAAAAAAAAGAATTGAATATTAATTTTAAGAGACGAAATGTCCTTTTTTTTAATAAAAATATCAAAACATACATAAAATGTGCTTTTTTACAACTTTCATTCGAAAAATGTGTATTTTTTATTGCACGAATAGGTTCATTATAAACGAAATATTAACCTTTCCATTATAGATGAGCTTTTGCAAATCTGTGGCGAATTCATCCCCACGCCCCTCTGCGATTTTCTGCTTGACTTCAGCGATCTAAAGTCAATTCTACAAAAAATAAATATTTAATTAATCTTACAGTGAGCCCTTCATCGAGATCAATAGTGAAACTCGATTGCGTCAATGTCTTGAATGACACAGTAACCGGCATGTTGCTGAAGGAAATATGGGTTTCGCAATAAATAAACGTAAAACGAATATTTTAAGGAAAAAAAACGATTAGAAACAAAAAATCCTGTTCAAATAAATTGAAATATTAATAAAAGTATTAGAAAATGGTTTAAAAATGCGAAAAACAAAAGAAAACAAAAGAAAAATAATAAACATCCGAAAAAAAACGGTCGCTTTGAGGCAAACACACACTTGGAGAGATGCCAGGTTAAAGGCGCACATGATATTTCCTTGCGCTCCGTGCGAGACCATAGTCATTCTATCTCCTCGCCAATATTTACGAGACGAACCTCGTTTAAATTTTTATTTTTTCACCAAAATAAATTGATTTTTCTGTAGTCATCAATGGCCGCTGCTGCTCACAAGAACTTATTGGCGGTTTGGGCGAAACAGCCACGAGATATTAATGGGATTAAAGCTGCTCTAGACAATTTGTCGGTGAGTAAAATTTGTTCTAATTGAGATCGTACAAAACAGCGAGATTTTCGCTTTTTTTGAAGCAAATTTAGCTTTGAGATATAAAAAAAAAATAATTTACAGAAAGCTCTTGCCACCGACACCTCTTTGAATGACGAACAAGCTCTTTTGGCCGACAAGGATCTTGTCGAAATCACAGCTCTTTTCTCTATTATTACGGGCGACATGGCGACTTTCCATGCAACCATTCAATCGGTAATTCTTATGAAAGTGCTGCTATTCTTTTTTATTTAAGGTTTTTAAAATCTATGAAATGGCTCCAAAGCATACCGAAAACAAATATCTCATGATCGGCTTAAACTTGATGTTTTATTTAGCCCACAATCGTTTGGCCGAGTTCCATATGGTAAAGTGCAACGTTATAAAAACTATCAATTCGGAAATTTTCCAGCTCTTGGAGCAAGTTCCTCATTCGGAGCAAACTTCCAACGCTTACATTGTGACCCCGGTTCGCATCGAGCAAAGCATCATGGAAGGCGCTTACAATAAAGTGATCCTCACGGAAAAGAATATACCAAGTCCTTTCTATGAACCATTCATTAAGACTATGGTAGATACTATAAGGTAAATATTTGTCTAATATTTAATTATAAAATAAACGCCGACATTTCAGAGGCGAGATTGCATCGTCCATCGAGAAGTCGTTCAAATTTCTCAACATCAAAGATGCTGCCGTGATGCTTCTTTGCGATAACGAGAAGCAGCTTGCGGAGTTCGCGAAAATGGTAGCTTCATATCTTCGAGCAATATTCAAAACCAATCCACCGAATTCAGAGAAACTGGAAGCAGGATGGTAAGAGCTTCGTGTTCGACAACGTCGAAGTCGCTCAGGACAAACCGCCAACTCTCGACACAAAGCGCATCGCCACCCAAACGATATTCTACGCAAAGCAACTCGAGCAAATCGTTTAATTTATTTTGCGCTCGTCCGATTACCGGTGTGTACGCATTCAGATATAATTTTTTCAATGTAAATTAATTTATTTACAAGATTGTTTATAACTCGCCTACAATACAAAAAAGACAAACTGACATACATTCGTTGCAAATCAACCACGAAAAATTTTCTATCAATATGATATACTAGTCAGAGCAATGAGCACATATGTACAGCAACAAAGGAAAATGAAAAACGGTGAATGTCTACCAGACGACGCAACGATTCGTCGGGTTCATTTTGGTACCGGCGGCGCATTTGAACGCGTTCGCAAACTCCGGCTGATTCGAGAGCACCACATTGACACGAGCCGTCTCCGGACTGTGCGGATCGGTCAGCGCATGAAGTGTTCTCGTCTCGACGGTCTTCGAGCCGCACCACGTTTGAGCGTAGCCGACGAAAAACAGCTGCTCATTGGTAAGCGTTTCGAGACCCGGCAATCTCGGCTCCTGTCCACCGTTCTTCTCCAAATAGCGTTGGTAGGCCTGTTGGGATTCGAATGTTAACAATTCGCTTCGCCACTCGAAATACCCACCTTGAACGCTTGTTTGATGCCACCATTGTCGGCGATGTTCTCGCCCTGCGTCAATTTTCCATTAATCTTCAAGTCCGTCTGCTCCACTGGCACTGCTCCATACTGCTCGATGATGCATTGAGCGCGTTCGGTGAATTTCACCGCGGTGCTGTTATCCCACCAATCGCGAAGGTTGCCGACATTGTCGAATTGACGTCCTAAAACGTCGACGATTATCATTTTTCTTGATTTTTCAAATATCTAGTTCGATATTATAGTTAGTATGGTTAGTATTGGGTTAGTGACGGAGAGTTCTACCTGTGTCGTCAAATCCATGGGTGATCTCGTGCCCGATGACGGCGCCGATACCGCCGTAATTGAGCGCTTTCGGGAATCGCGCATCAAAGAATGGCTGTTGAAGAATGCCGGCGGGGAATGCTGAAAATCGTCAAATGGGTCTCGTCGAGAAAACTCGCCAACCGATCGCGTTTCTTGTCGGCGAGTAGAACGCGTTGACAACGGCGGCGCTCGAAATGAACTCGTGTCGATTCACCGGCTCGAGAAGGCGTCTATAATGGAACGTGTTGCGCCATTGAATCGTCTTCTCGACAAGTGCGCTGTAGGTGTCATCCTGGGCGCCTTCAAGCCCCTTATACCAATCATCAAGTTTTTCGTCGTTGAGAATAAAGTCTGGATAGCCGATCTGGTTGATCATCTCGCTGGCTTTTTGCAAAGCGAACTGAAATCAAGCTATCCGGTTGGTCGAAACGTCGAATTTCAAAAATTAAAAAAACCTTCTTGGTGTTCTCATCCATCCAATCATTGACGTGCATCATATTTCTGAATGATTCTTGAAGATCGTCGATCATTGCCAGCGTCGTGTTCTTCGCATTCGCATCGAAGTATCGTCGAACGTACATCGCCGATGAGGCGAAACTCAATTTCGAGCCGGAATTCGAGACGCAATCTTTCCAGCGAGGCTGCCGCTGCTTGCGACCATACATTTGGAATGCGAATTCCTGAAATTATATTTTCGCTCAAAAAAAAACATTCGTCATTATTCCAACCTGCTGAAGATCCTCATATTTCGTTCCAATTTCTTGGCTCCATGAGCCGGCGTAGCGCAGAAGAATATAGTTAGTAATGACTCTCGGGTCAGTTTCTTGGAGCAATTTTGACATGCTCAAATTTTCAGCAAAATATTAATCTATAAACAATTCGAACTCACTTTTCCAAATAATCGACATCGCTGATAATAATAATCGGATTTGTTGCGATGTAGGAGTGCACAAAAAATGGTGTTGTTGAAATGAAAAGTCGCCGCCAGTCAATCTGCAAATTGTCGTCGATTGTTGCGCATTCGCCTCTCGCTTACAATCGGCACATATTTCTGCATATCATTGAAGTTTCGCACATTGTATTGTTGTGTGTAATTGCGGCGATCCTCTTCGGCGACAAGCACCTTCGCCCATTTCTTCTCAAACTCGATGATCTCATCGACATCGGCCGCAATTTTCGTCTCGTTCACTGGCAATCCGGCGTCTTGTGTGTAGAGTCGAACTTTGCCAATCGTGTACTTCCGATAAGCGCTCATCTGCTTTCGGTACTTCTTCTCATCCAAATAGTATTCTCTCGTCGAATAGCCCAATCCCAAACTTCCTTGATCAAAGTTGATAAGCCGTCTTGAGACGTTCCTCGAATCCTCCGACGGTCCGAAATCGAAGAAGACGGAAACGTCGCGCGATTGAATCGTGTTGGTGAGCAGTTTGGTGAGATCGAAACTCGACTCGCGCCAAAGCTCGTTGTGCACCATCGGCCAATAGCCGAACGTTTTGATCTTGTCGAGCAAATCGCGAGCGCCGATCGCGTTGTGCCTCTCGGTGTCCATGCACGTCTTGTAGATTTGTTTGATCAACGCGATCGATTTCGACGTCGGAGTGCTGGCGGCATCCTCGTAGAGTTGGCGCATCTCGGCGAGGACCTTCTCGCGTGTCACAACGAATTGCGAGTACGAGGTGAGATAGTCGGGAATCGGATGGCTGTCGACCCATTTGCGGCACGCGAACTCGAAAAAGTCGTCGCACGGATCCAACTGGAAATTTTTGATTGGCTGGGCGATTCAAAACCAAAAAAAAATCCGCTTACCGATAAGTTGACGCTCTTCTGAAGGAGTTTCGACGCCTCGAAATAGCCTTCAGTGGTGCCGACTTGATAGTCAGCCGTCGTCTTCTCGCCGTCGTCGTTGGAGACGAATGGCACGCGCGGAATCGCCGCGACGATCGGCAACGCAATGATCACCAGCGTTGAGATGTTCGACAACATCTGAACAATCAACATTGGCGAAGTTCGCGTTCAAACTAGACGACGACGACGACGACAAAAAAGGTCCATGCGTTTCGCACACGCGTCTCTGGAGACGTTTTATCGCAAACCAACAAAAAAAAACGACGGGGCCGATTTTTTTTTTTTGGGAAATGATGAAAATCGCTGCCACGTACGTCTCGCGATCGAAGGTGGTGATAAAAAAAAAGTGGAAACGGATGAGAAGAAGTGAAAAAAATGGGACAGGAAGCAGAAAAAAAACTGGTTATCAGTATAGGCGTTTGAATACGCGGAAATTGGTCCTGACGACTCTTAAATACTATTTTTTACAAGGGGGGACAATAGAAGAAAACGGTTTTTTAGAAATTGGCCCAGGAAGGGAAGGGTTGGTTTTTTTTTATACCTTCATACAACAGCAAAAAAGCCGATGACGTGAAATTCATGAATAATTCAAACGGTGTGATATCAAGGAGCTGGAGGACGTCACCTTGAGAAGGAGGATATCGCAGATTTTTCGCAAAATTGCTGGTGACCTTAAGACGAGAAACAACGAATAGATACGACGATTGAAAGGGAAAGGATCGGATCGGATCGGATCCAAGGAGCTTGAATGATTGGCGATTCTCGCCGGTCATATTGTAGGAGGTGTGGGGGCGTGGCGAAAAGCGGTCGAGCAAATATTTGAAGTGCGTGTTTTGACCATTTATGGAATTGTGTGTGTGTGTGTGCTCGGTGCGAATCGCAATAAAAACTGTGCACACATTTGTCTTTGTCAAAAAATTTCCTTCCAAGATAATTGCGATTCTGTGGGTTCGACTTTCTTTGGCGGTGCGACAAACAAAAGCACAATGAGCAGAATGCCATCAGCCGGATCGAATTGTTTGCGAACTTTGGCCGCAGAAACCGGCCAATGTCGACACCGACGAAAAATGACGACGTTGATGGGTACTTTAATAGTCGCGATTACTACTACTACTAGTGGCAAGCGCAAATAAACACGATGATGCGCCTTCTTAGTCAATGGGAGCGACGTTTTCTTTTTTTTTTGGTTGAATGACGACTTCGCGCAAATATTGACGAGTATTTGAATATTCAAAACGAAACCAAAACATTTAAAAAAATTTCTTTTTGAATATTTTGATCATTAGTTGCTTGCGTGCCAACCAACATTTGGTAGATCAAAAGAAGCCAATAGACGAAAAGGGGACTTGTTGAATAGTTCAAGAAGAAAATCTTAAATGCAATTTATTTGTTATTTGAATTGCAGGGTCTCGTATGGAAAAATGCATTTTTGCTCAAAATTGTAAAAAAAAATAAAAAATTATGAATCAAAAAAATGTTTGTTTTACAGAAAAAAGTGCCAATTATTTTTTTCGCTGAGTGATAATCATGAGTCCTTTTTTGACCAATATGAGCATATTTTATTTAATGGGACCAATTAAAAAAGTCCGCGAATTTTAAAAAATTCAGAAAATTCGATTTTAGCCATGATTTTTTTTATGGCGCGAAAAATTTCGATTTGAAATTTTCGCTAACCTAATTCGATGAATTTAGGAATTGAATTTATTGCTCCCACAAAAAAACTTTGTTCCACACGAGACCAAAGGCGGTAATTTAAACGCAATTCCGACTACACTCTACTTTCGCTAGAATGAATCCTTGAAAAATCGTGTCCTTAAGCTTCTCGTCCCAATTTGAAAGTTTCGCTAATGTTTGCAAACCCCTTATCTTTCAAAGAGCTTTTCCCATTTTTATTATGTTAACTATGCCGATAATTTGTGACACCTCTTATCTCCATAATTGTTATCATTAATTGATTGATTTTTCGCTGCAACCAACCAATTTCTTTTTTTTCCGCGATTTTCCTAATTTAGATTCTGCTGGGCAATGACCGCTTGGACGAGCTCGCTGAAATCGAAGACGATTCGCTGGCTTGAGGATAATCGCGGGTTGGTTATCGTTCTCTTCTGCCTTCCGGCGAGTTTTGTAAGTTCAATTTGCATTTTGGGTCTCGCAACGATTACCAATTATATTAGCTGTTTGATTTGTTCATTCAATTCCGTATTTGGTTCAACCGGAAAATAGCAAAATCTTCAACGCACGCAAGCAGAGTTGACAATATCAGAAATCAGGTTGGAATCAAGGCAGATCAATATTCTAAGTAGATCAAAGATATACAGATTCTTGAATGGAATCGACTTCCTGTGAATCAGAGGAAGCCGTTGTGCACAGCGCGTCCGAATTGGCTTAGCCTTTCCGTGACATTTTTCGATAAGGTCGCCATTTCTAAACTCACTAGCTCCTCCATTTTTGAATATTTCAGAAGGCTTGCCATCAGATTCCCATCGATCTTCATGATGTTTTGAATCTCGACGAGCAAAATCTTACGGTGACCGTCGAGCCGAATGTCACTGTTCGAGAAATATGCAAATATCTTGTACCGAAGTATCTTAACATGATTTGGAATCATTCAAAAAATGAATTATTGAGGGGATACACTTTGGCTGTGACACTGGAAATTGGAGATGCGACACTGGGTGGATTGGCGTTTGGTGTGGGAATGACCACGTACTCGCATAAGGTAAGCCGATGATGATTAGGCAATGTGGGACTAAGCTAGACAAAATAAATGGTCCCAGTCAATGGGGAACCGCCCAACTAACCCGCAATGATCATGCCAATGCTGATGATGATTGTGTGGTAGTCAGTCGATTCCCCTGACCAGAGGTATAAGCTAGACGAAATAAATGGTCCCAGTCAATGGGGAACCGCCCAACTAACCCGCAATGATCATGCCAATGCTGATGATGATTGTGTGGTAGTCAGTCGATTCCCCTGACCAGAGGTATAAGCTAGACGAAATAAATGGTCCCAGTCAATGGGGAACCGCCCAACTAACCCGCAATGATCATGCCAATGCTGATGATGATTGTGTGGTAGTCAGTCGATTCCCCTGACCAGAGGTATAAGCTAGACGAAATAAATGGTCCCAGTCAATGGGGAACCGCCCAACTAACCCGCAATGATCATGCCAATGCTGATGATGATTGTGTGGTAGTCAGTCGATTCCCCTGACCAGAGGTATAAGCTAGACAAAATAAATGGTCCCAGTCAATGGGGAACCGCCCAACTAACCCGCAATGATCATGCCAATGCTGATGATGATTGTGTGGTAGTCAGTCGATTCCCCTGACCAGAGGTATAAGCTAGACGAAATAAATGGTCCCAGTCAATGGGGAACCGCCCAACTAACCCTGCAATGATCATGCCAATGCTGATGATGATTGTGTGGTAGTCAGTCGATTCCCCTGACCAGAGGTATAAGCTAGACGAAATAAATGGTCCCAGTCAATGGGGAACCGCCCAACTAACCCGCAATGATCATGCCAATGCTGATGATGATTGTGTGGTAGTCAGTCGATTCCCCTGACCAGAGGTATAAGCTAGACGAAATAAATGGTCCCAGTCAATGGGGAACCGCCCAACTAACCCGCAATGATCATGCCAATGCTGATGATGATTGTGTGGTAGTCAGTCGATTCCCCTGACCAGAGGTATAAGCTAGACGAAATAAATGGTCCCAGTCAATGGGGAACCGCCCAACTAACCCGCAATGATCATGCCAATGCTGATGATGATTGTGTGGTAGTCAGTCGATTCCCCTGACCAGAGGTATAAGCTAGACGAAATAAATGGTCCCAGTCAATGGGGAACCGCCCAACTAACCCGCAATGATCATGCCAATGCTGATGATGATTGTGTGGTAGTCAGTCGATTCCCCTGACCAGAGGTATAAGCTAGACGAAATAAATGGTCCCAGTCAATGGGGAACCGCCCAACTAACCCGCAATGATCATGCCAATGCTGATGATGATTGTGTGGTAGTCAGTCGATTCCCCTGACCAGAGGTATAAGCTAGACGAAATAAATGGTCCCAGTCAATGGGGAACCGCCCAACTAACCCGCAATGATCATGCCAATGCTGATGATGATTGTGTGGTAGTCAGTCGATTCCCCTGACCAGAGGTATAAGCTAGACGAAATAAATGGTCCCAGTCAATGGGGAACCGCCCAACTAACCCGCAATGATCATGCCAATGCTGATGATGATTGTGTGGTAGTCAGTCGATTCCCCTGACCAGAGGTATAAGCTAGACGAAATAAATGGTCCCAGTCAATGGGGAACCGCCCAACTAACCCGCAATGATCATGCCAATGCTGATGATGATTGTGTGGTAGTCAGTCGATTCCCCTGACCAGAGGTATAAGCTAGACGAAATAAATGGTCCCAGTCAATGGGGAACCGCCCAACTAACCCGCAATGATCATGCCAATGCTGATGATGATTGTGTGGTAGTCAGTCGATTCCCCTGACCAGAGGTATAAGCTAGACGAAATAAATGGTCCCAGTCAATGGGGAACCGCCCAACTAACCCGCAATGATCATGCCAATGCTGATGATGATTGTGTGGTAGTCAGTCGATTCCCCTGACCAGAGGTATAAGCTAGACGAAATAAATGGTCCCAGTCAATGGGGAACCGCCCAACTAACCCGCAATGATCATGCCAATGCTGATGATGATTGTGTGGTAGTCAGTCGATTCCCCTGACCAGAGGTATAAGCTAGACGAAATAAATGGTCCCAGTCAATGGGGAACCGCCCAACTAACCCGCAATGATCATGCCAATGCTGATGATGATTGTGTGGTAGTCAGTCGATTCCCCTGACCAGAGGTATAAGTTAGACGAAATAAATGGTCCCAGTCAATGGGGAACCGCCCAACTAACCCGCAATGATCATGCCAATGCTGATGATGATTGTGTGGTAGTCAGTCGATTCCCCTGACCAGAGGTATAAGCTAGACGAAATAAATGGTCCCAGTCAATGGGGAACCGCCCAACTAACCCGCAATGATCATGCCAATGCTGATGATGATTGTGTGGTAGTCAGTCGATTCCCCTGACCAGAGGTATAAGCTAGACGAAATAAATGGTCCCAGTCAATGGGGAACCGCCCAACTAACCCGCAATGATCATGCCAATGCTGATGATGATTGTGTGGTAGTCAGTCGATTCCCCTGACCAGAGGTATAAGCTAGACGAAATAAATGGTCCCAGTCAATGGGGAACCGCCCAACTAACCCGCAATGATCATGCCAATGCTGATGATGATTGTGTGGTAGTCAGTCGATTCCCCTGACCAGAGGTATAAGCTAGACGAAATAAATGGTCCCAGTCAATGGGGAACCGCCCAACTAACCCGCAATGATCATGCCAATGCTGATGATGATTGTGTGGTAGTCAGTCGATTCCCCTGACCAGAGGTATAAGCTAGACGAAATAAATGGTCCCAGTCAATGGGGAACCGCCCAACTAACCCGCAATGATCATGCCAATGCTGATGATGATTGTGTGGTAGTCAGTCGATTCCCCTGACCAGAGGTATAAGCTAGACGAAATAAATGGTCCCACTCAATGGGGAACCGCCCAACTAACCCGCAATGATCATGCCAATGCTGATGATGATTGTGTGGTAGTCAGTCGATTCCCCTGACCAGAGGTATAAGCTAGACGAAATAAATGGTCCCAGTCAATGGGGAACCGCCCAACTAACCCGCAATGATCATGCCAATGCTGATGATGATTGTGTGGTAGTCAGTCGATTCCCCTGACCAGAGGTATAAGCTAGACAAAATAAATGGTCCCAGTCAATGGGGAACCGCCCAACTAACCCGCAATGATCATGCCAATGCTGATGATGATTGTGTGGTAGTCAGTCGATTCCCCTGACCAGAGGTATAAGCTAGACGAAATAAATGGTCCCAGTCAATGGGGAACCGCCCAACTAACCCGCAATGATCATGCCAATGCTGATGATGATTGTGTGGTAGTCAGTCGATTCCCCTGACCAGAGGTATAAGCTAGACGAAATAAATGGTCCCAGTCAATGGGGAACCGCCCAACTAACCCGCAATGATCATGACAATGCTGATGATGATTGTGTGGTAGTCAGTCGATTCCCCTCACCAGAGGTATAAGCTAGACGAAATAAATGGTCCCAGTCAATGGGGAACCGCCCAACTAACCCGCAATGATCATGCCAATGCTGATGATGATTGTGTGGTAGTCAGTCGATTCCCCTGACCAGAGGTATAAGCTAGACAAAATAAATGGTCCCAGTCAATGGGGAACCGCCCAACTAACCCGCAATGATCATGCCAATGCTGATGATGATTGTGTGGTAGTCAGTCGATTCCCCTGACCAGAGGTATAAGCTAGACGAAATAAATGGTCCCAGTCAATGGGGAACCGCCCAACTAACCCGCAATGATCATGCCAATGCTGATGATGATTGTGTGGTAGTCAGTCGATTCCCCTGACCAGAGGTATAAGCTAGACGAAATAAATGGTCCCAGTCAATGGGGAACCGCCCAACTAACCTGCAATGATCATGCCAATGCTGATGATGATTGTGTGGTAGTCAGTCGATTCCCCTGACCAGAGGTATAAGCTAGACGAAATAAATGGTCCCAGTCAATGGGGAACCGCCCAACTAACCCGCAATGATCATGCCAATGCTGATGATGATTGTGTGGTAGTCAGTCGATTCCCCTGACCAGAGGTATAAGCTAGACGAAATAAATGGTCCCAGTCAATGGGGAACCGCCCAACTAACCCGCAATGATCATGCCAATGCTGATGATGATTGTGTGGTAGTCAGTCGATTCCCCTGACCAGAGGTATAAGCTAGACGAAATAAATGGTCCCAGTCAATGGGGAACCGCCCAACTAACCCGCAATGATCATGCCAATGCTGATGATGATTGTGTGGTAGTCAGTCGATTCCCCTGACCAGAGGTATAAGCTAGACGAAATAAATGGTCCCAGTCAATGGGGAACCGCCCAACTAACCCGCAATGATCATGCCAATGCTGATGATGATTGTGTGGTAGTCAGTCGATTCCCCTGACCAGAGGTATAAGCTAGACGAAATAAATGGTCCCAGTCAATGGGGAACCGCCCAACTAACCCGCAATGATCATGCCAATGCTGATGATGATTGTGTGGTAGTCAGTCGATTCCCCTCACCAGAGGTATAAGCTAGACGAAATAAATGGTCCCAGTCAATGGGGAACCGCCCAACTAACCCGCAATGATCATGCCAATGCTGATGATGATTGTGTGGTAGTCAGTCGATTCCCCTGACCAGAGGTATAAGCTAGACGAAATAAATGGTCCCAGTCAATGGGGAACCGCCCAACTAACCCGCAATGATCATGACAATGCTGATGATGATTGTGTGGTAGTCAGTCGATTCCCCTGACCAGAGGTATAAGCTAGACGAAATAAATGGTCCCAGTCAATGGGGAACCGCCCATCTAACCCGCAATGATCATGCCAATGCTGATGATGATTGTGTGGTAGTCAGTCGATTCCCCTGACCAGAGGTATAAGCTAGACGAAATAAATGGTCCCAGTCAATGGGGAACCGCCCAACTAACCCGCAATGATCATGCCAATGCTGATGATGATTGTGTGGTAGTCAGTCGATTCCCCTGACCAGAGGTATAAGCTAGACGA